TCATATGAGAAAAATTTAGAATTAACTCTACTGTACAAACTGCATCAATGATATAATTTTCAATAAGATCGAACTCAAGAAAATTTTCTCATAGAAATTGATTTTTTAGGAATCTGATAAACTTTTGAAGCAAACTTCTTTCTTATCATCATCTAGAGATTCTAAAGAAAAATTTGTATCGTTTAAAATTGTTTTTTTTGAATTTTTTCATTCGGTTGTAACAGCATTTTTTTTCGTATTCCATCACGTCGTTAACGAAAAGTAAATTGATTTTTTGTTTAAAAATCTATGCGGAAGTTTTTTGAAAACAAATAAAAGTTGATTCTCTTACTAACATTAAGTTTTTACTGATAATTCATTTTGCGAAGATATATTGCTAATAGTATCATGCACGGAGACAATTTTTTGCATCCGACAGCTGTCGAACTTGAGTTTCCTCCACAAAACAGGAATAGAAAAGGCAAGTGATTCAGAATTCACTTGATATTTTTGAAGTTTAAAAATCCGAATCAAAGATGACACTGAAATGAAACGCGGTTTTGATGTTAAACGTTATACTTGTGGATATATACATGAATGCTGTTTTTTTATCACGATAATATATGTTCACGTTTCTGATAATTTATTTCTCTCTTCATTTTTTCAAATCATCATATAGTTCATCATTATCTATAGATGAATTTTCATTAGAAACGAATTCTTTCAGTAAAACAATCTTGCCTTCTACTTCTATAATTTGTTCTCAAGTACACCAAATGAATCGATCATTATCGAATCGGTTGTTATTCCTATTCGTTTACATATATATATATATGGTAGTTTGAAAAAATAAAAATATTTTGAAATGTTGAGATCTCATATATTGTCTTGTCGGGTATCGAATACCCAATTTAGTTGCAGAACACTAGTGTCGAACGAATGACTTTACCGATATATAATATATAAGAAATAAGCATAGCGAAAAAATTTATCCAATTTATATCTATAATAAAAATAAATTCATTTTTTTTTTCTCTTTATAAATAGATTCAACAAATAATTGCTTCTCGTACAGCATCACTTCCTGGTCAAGTTCGTAATGTTCGTATTCTTACATTTACACCTGGAACTAATCCAACAACAGGTATTGCTGATACAACAACAACAAATACTCAACAAACACCTATACAATCAACTAATATAACATATAATCGTTCAAATTCATCAGCATCATCATTTTCACGTTCAACAATTAATATTGATCAAGATATATCACCTGATTTAGCTGCTCAAGTACATCGTATTAAATCATTTAATGTAACAAATACAGATCCAAATGATACAACACAAACACCACGTGCTGTACTTGTACCAGCACGTACAATATCTAGTTCATCAACATCATCAACATCATCAGTTGGTTCAACATCAAAAATAAAATCATCATCACTTATTGATCCAACAACACTTGGTTTTACAACAAAAACATCTCAAGCTAATATTGTTTTTCAATTACCATCATCAACATCAACAACATCAACAACAACAACAACAGGTGGAGATGAACAAATAACAACAAATTTAGTACGACAAAATTTATTACAACATTTAAATTTAATATCATCAAATATGAATCAACGAGCACAATCACCAACAACTATATCAAATGCAACTAATTCAATAACTGTTAATCGTTTTCTTCAACAATATCAATTACGTCCTGCAGCTACACTTAATTCTTCAACATCAACAACACAAATATCATCAGGACAAATGAATAATGAACAAATATCATCATCATCTACTCCTCCACCACCACCACCATCTTCTTCTTCTTCTTCTACAACTTGATAATTGTTTTCTTCTTTTTTTTTTGTCTCTATCGTCTATGTACAGTTAGTCATGTTTGACCGTTTTTTTTTTCTAGTCGAAACAAACAAGAGAAAACTTATTTTTTATTGTGCACGCTAGAGAACATGTTGTTCATCTTTATATACATATATATATATATATATTATTGGAAAAATTTCAACAAGCAAAAAAAGAGATCTTCTCAGGGATACATGTGTAGGTTCTCATTTGTCCAATGTTCTTTTTCCTAAGAAGATCAACAAATAAAAAGAAAAAATCAATTGGTTTGTTTGTTAGTGTTTTTTCACTTTGATTATTATTAGATGAAAACGAAAGAAGAAAAATTAATACAATATTTATTTCCAATGAAAAAGAAGAAAAATATTACAAATGATAGTATGGATGATAAACAAAAATATGATAGACGTTTGTTGGCATTTCTATCATTGGATAAGGTAATATTCGTGAATTATTAGTTTTTTACATATTAGATATGTTAATTTTTTTGTTTTTTCTAAATATTGATTACTATGCAATACAAATACGTTCGAAATTTATTTCTCATTACGATATAGAATGTTAAATAGATTATAATCTTTTGCTTGTATACAAAAAAAAACAAGATTTGGAAAAAAAATAGCAAAACAAAGGATTCAATATATTTATATAGTTTTAACTTCTTAGAAGAAGTCTAGTTATGAATTGATACTACTCTAGTTACTTATTTCGAAATTCAGTCTGTTAAATCCACTAGTAATTCCAGAAGAGTTATTAATCATGCACATCCTAAATTGACGTTCTTTATATGCTAATGGTATAGTTAGAACCATTGGACACATTATTTCTTCTGCGATGTAGTTTGATCAGTTCAATGACTTTAGAATGAAAGAAGACACAGTAAAATGATTTGAAAAGTTTGATTTTTTTCATCTGACTAATATAATAGAAGAAAAGATAAGGATATGAAATTTTATATACACACTTGTTGAAAGCATCGCTTCAGTCACAGCGAATAAATGAATTTTTGTCATTTCATATTTTATTTTGACTTCTCATATAAGCAGATTTACAAAAAATTAATGCATGATATGCATTATTCTCCGTTTTTTTTCTCCTAATGATCGTCACACAGTCTATTCAATGGTTTAGTATTTGATTCACTAGTCAACATATTCGACGGTATATATTTCGCAACGAGTCATGTATAGTACCAAGTTCTTTTTGTTTTCAGTAGCATCTTTTCAAAGTGTTCCAATCTGGTTTGAACAATCTTCAGAATTTTGATTCCACGCAACATATCCCCAATATGTAAATTGTGTACATCGTGCTTTTTCAACAAAACCAATATATTGTAAAATTCTCTCCAATAAACAATTACTGAGAAATTTTAAAAAAAACTAAGATATTCATTTTTAATATACTTTCATTGATGTCTTCTGAGAAGTTTTTCTTTTTTTTTATTGCTTTATTTATAAATAAATTATGCAATGAATATAAACAATATTGTTTTTTTTTTTGTTTTAGCTCGATGCGACATTATATCGTCGAATTCTATTACAAATACCAACAAAAATAATTCCACGTATGGCTAATCCACTTCTTCTAGCTGATTTTTTAACTAGTTCATATGAAACACAAAATAATGCATCAAAAATTCTTTCATTACATGGTTTATATGTATTAATGACACAATATAATCTTGAATATCCATTCTTTTTTGGTAAACTTTATTCATTATTAACCATTGATTTATTTAATGCTAAATATAAAGCAAGATTTTTTTATTTACTTGATATATTTTTACAATCATCGTATGTTTATTTTTTATTTTTTATTATTTTAAAAAATAAATATATTTAAAAAAAATATTTTATTTAGACATTTACCAGCAAATTTAGTTGCTAGTTTTGCTAAACGTCTTGCTCGATTAGCTCTATTAATACCACAACATGATCAATGTTTAATTATAACATTTATATATAATTTAATTGTAAGACATCCAACAATTCGAATTATGATCAATAGACAACAATCTCAATCAACAGATTCAAATAAAGATATTTATTTATCTAAAGAATTTGATCCAAACAAAACGAATGCTATTGAGAGTTCATTATGGGAAATAGAAGTAAAAAGATTTTTATAAATTTTATTATAGAAAAGTATATATATATATCATTTTTTTTTTAGTCTCTCACTCATCATCATCATCCCGATGTAGTAACATGTGCTCTTGCATTAATGTCTCTTCGAAAAAAAAATAATGAACGAGATATGCATCAATTACTTGAAATTGATTATGATGAGGTTTGTATACATACAATCAAAGAGATTTCCACTTCTCCAAAAAAAAACAGCGTTCAAGTATGAGAATATTGAGTAGATATGACTTCAGAATAGTTGTATATCAATGGAAATAAAATTAATTTTTTTTTTGACGAACTTCATTTCTAACGTTCATATAGGAAAAATTGAATTTTACATCAAACTATAATGATAATCAGAAATTTCGTGTTTATGCAATACGAAAATTTAAGCAAGTAGATTTAAAAAGAAATTTGTACATATTTGAATGATAATATTAAACAATTTTTCTTCTGTTCTAGTTAAATTCTAGACATGACGTATTCAATTAGTTTCAATATGAATTTGTTTGTCAAAAATTTTCATGGATATCAAGAGAGAGAGAGTTTTTCTATTTTTCAAAATTATTCCATATTAATTAATCCGTTAATTTAAACTAATAGAAAAAAAAACATCAAACGCCTATGCATCCCTCATTTCTTCTTGTATAATATTGGTTTCTGTAAACTTTCTTTAAGAAATTAAAAATTTGAATAAATTTTACGTTAATCAAGAGTTATTATTTATGTATCTTTTTTCTAGATGTTTGAACATGATTTAAATCGGTCAATTCGATCTGACAAGAAAAAAGATAAAACAAAAACTTCCAAATGTCCAATCAATTTCAATTTGGCTGTTAATTTGTTTAGTTGATAATAATATGTTGTTTTATTATATTTGAAAAGAATAAAATTAAAACATTCTTCAAAGCACCTTTTTTCATTGCACAGAAAAAAAACATTAGCAAGAAGCGCATATCAAGATAGAAGATTAGTTAAGATCTGACAGTTAGAAACAAAAAAAAAAAAACCAGAAGCAAAGCAAATTTAAGGTTTAGCTCGTCGATGTACTTGAATAAATTTTGATTTTTTTACAATTTGTCGTTGATTATTTTCAAATAATTTATAATATTCTAATAAAAGTTCTTTCCAATAATGTTCAATATTTTCCATAGTTAAATTATTCCAAATAAAATCACGTCCTTGTCGTGCAATTTTTCTAACTAAATAATCATTATTTTGTATAAATAATAATAAATTTTCAACATCATATAAATCAATTGTTATTGGAATATAATGATACCAAGGTTCAAGATAATCATAAAAAAATTCAATCCAATCTGAACCAACATGTATAACAAGTGAACCACATAAAAATAAATGACGTAAACGAAATGATGCTGCAACACCACGAAAATTAAATAAATATTTATATTGACAAAATTCTTCATGTTTTAATTCATTTGCTGGTCTATAACCTAATGTATCTTGATCAGATTTCCATGCTTGATTTTTTGTATATTGTGCATCAAGTAATTCTGGATGATTACGAGATAATAATATTAATGGATCACGTTCTGATGATGTTCTTGAACCACGAAAAAATCCACGAGATTCTTTTTTTGACCAAGGAATATTTTGTCGTGCTTTATTTAATGTTTGTCGCATTATATCCCAACGACCAATACCAGTTGGATAAATACTACCTAATGCTGGTCCACCATCCCAAAATGACCATGCTGGATAAAGTATATCTGTATCATGAGAATGTAAAGATTTACTAAATGATAATATTGGAATATTAGTTTGACTTTGTGGCCAATCATATGTATTAATTAAAAATTCCATATTAGGTAAAAAATCAATAATATTTAATAGAAAATGTTCTATACCATAATTACGTGCTGGAAATATTAATTGATCATCTGTTTGACGATATAAACGATGATTAATTATTTGATAAAGTGTAAGACGATGAGTTTTAGCAATTGTTTCAATATTATTTAATTGTTTTTGAATTTCATCTATTGATTGATTTTTCCAATAGGAAAAATCTAAATTAATTCGATTATGAAATATAGTTTGATTATTATCATTTGTTTGATTTATATGATTTTTTTCAGCTTTCTCTATTAACTTGATATATTTATCCCATTTAGATGACTCGATATATAGATCATTTTCTTTATGAAAATATTTTTCTTTTTCATGATTAATATCACTTGATTCATATTCAATTGAAGAATCTATTTTAGGAACTAATAATAGATAAATGATAAGAACAATATGTACGTTTATAAGAGTCATTCTGAATCATAAATATTTGAATTACTTATTCGTTTTAGATATGCATATATTTCACACAATATATATAAGCAATTTTGAATAGCGACATCTATTGAAAAACAAATATTATTTTTTTTTTAAAACAAATTTAAAAAATTCATTTCAAATCTAAATTATTTTAAATATAATTGTTAATAATTTCTTACGATTTTAAAAAATCTAAATTATTTTCATTTGAAGATAATTTGCGTTTATCATGATTTTTTTTTTCATTCTGTGTTAGTGTTGTTTTCGTGCATCAATATAGTTATTTATTTATTTATTTGTGAAATTCTGAGATAAAAAAAAAAAAAAAGACTCAAAGTCACTATGAGACTCATATTGTGTATTCATGACCATATCTCATTTATGCACACAAATATATTCTTCGTTAGTTTACTTTTATGTTTTTTTTTTTCTCAAGGTTTTATTTTATTTTATTTATATTTACATTTATTATCGAATTAAAAGAAAACTATTATATTTATTTTAGTTACATTTTTATAAATTCCTTTAAAAAAGAAAACCCATTTATCAATGCAAGGAGACGAAGTAGAATTTGAATTTACACAAGGTTCATTAGAAACTCCATCATTAATGACTCCAAATATTGTTTTACATGCACCACCAATCAAAGCAGTATTCAATACAATAAGTGCAAATATGTCGACCTCAAATAATATATCATCAACGTCTAATCCATCATTAATAATAACAACAAGTACAGAAACACAATTACCTATATCATCAGCGGATATAAAAGTATCAGAAATTGAAGATAAACTTAAACAAAGTTTTAGTGAACCACGTAAACCAACACCATCACCATTTCAAAAAATTTCATCAAATAATAATGTTTTTATTTTGGATAAACCTTCTTCTATCATAACTAATGATGATGGAACAACAATTGAAATACCTTCAACAGCCGATGTAAGATATTTATATATGCAAAGAGAATGATTTTATGATTAATCATTTACGTTGGTGTTTTCAAATGATTCATTTTGTTATTTTTATATTTAGGTTGTTAAAGAATTAGAAGCACTTACAAATGTAAATCCATTACAATTTCAAGTAAAAGCATTAGTTAATGCTAATCAAGAACGTGAAACAACTTCATCAACTATGAACGGTGATAATATTCGTTATGATTCACCTCCAACATCAAATATGGGTATTGTATCACCAAAAAAAAAATTTCTTATACGAAGTCAATCCCATACTGAACCTGTGTCACCAATATCAAATAATAATAATCATAATAATAATAATAATAATATATCTCAATCTCAAAAATCCAATCATGATAATAGTATTATAAATATACAAAATGGTTTTGATGATGAAAATTCAATAGATGATTCTGTTACTAATCATTTTACACGAACAAATGATTTATCAACAATAACACATTCTAATGATATAAATATTGATAATAATCAACAATTTAAACCTATTATTGATAATGGACATGAACGTCATCTAAATATACAATTAAAACCTGAACAAAATATAATATCTCATCCAATTATTAAACAACAAACAATTGTAATTAATTCTATTAATAATAATAATAAACGAACGGTTCAATCGACTACTATTGGTAAGTTATTTATTCAAAATAATAATAAATAAATGTTTACAACAGTATTGTTCGAAATGATTTACTCTAGACTTTGACTATCGATAAATGATCTATAGACTAGAAAAATTTGAAATGGAGAACGATCATTGTTCTCTTGAGTTTTTTTTCTAGTCTATCATCTTTACATAGATAATTAAGATATCTGAAATATTCTCTTCATTGTTAAACATTCAATTCGATGTGAGTTTATTTCAATTGAATTTAATTTGTATATGATATCATATGAAAATTTATCTCTTTCAAATATTGATTAGACTAAAATTCAAATTTCTTTTTACCTTCGGATAGCGAAGCTCGACTACTATATATATATATATATATATGTTTGAAATGAATAATCTTTGAATCTGAAATACAAGAAAGAAAATAAACTTCAGTACTACGACAAAAACTACAGAAAAAAAAAAGATAAGCTGATATGACTTTTGAGTAAGGTTCTAGTAATGTGAAAATCGAATACGGTTTTGTTTGATATTTTTACATGAATCGATAGATCTCAACGAGTTCTACAAAACTATCTATATTAAATTTTTTTAGAACTCCTTTCTGGGACAAAATAATCACATATTTTATTTGTTCTATATGAAAAGTCGAGAATTTTTTTTTTATACTAGAAAAGCATAAAAATACAATTTTATTGTAATTTTTTTGCCTCAGAAAAGGATTCTAAATAATTTTAATATAAACAGTTTTGTAGAGCTCATTGATAGTAAAACTTCTATAACTGATAAAAATCGTACTATTTTGTCTTTTTTTTTGAGTAGTTTTTATCGCAGTACTGAAGTTTGTTTTTTTTTCCCTGTATTTTCGATTCAAAGGTTATTCATTTCAAACATATGCATAGATATAGTACTCGAGCTTTGCTATCCGAAAGTAAAAAGAAATTTGCATTTATGTCATGTATTTTTGAAATGTGAACGAAAACCAAAAAAAGTCATACGAGATTTTTGACGTCCACTGTATTTAAGATATTAAATTGAACTTAATTTATTGAAAAAATATCTTAATAGATTAATAATATTTGTTTCAAGCATACGAAATCTATGTCATTAACATGAATTCGTCTTATATACCTTTTCTATTGCTGTAGTTGACTTCAAACTTCTTATAATATTTACTAATTTCGTACTTTTTTTAAGCTAAGATTAGAGATGTGCGAGACATTGATAAGAAAATATTTAATGATTTTAAGCAAATTATTATATGAATCAGACGATAATTTAAGAGAGATAATCTGAACAAAAAAATACTAGATGTTTGCTAAATAAGAAAAAAGGAAACGAATATTGAAGAATTATTTTAGATATACGAATAAATTTTGGAATAGTTTTCTTTAAATCGGAACCGGTTGAATTAAACTGATCGTTCTTCATCAGTTGCAAGAAATTTTATAGATTGGTCATTATTCTCTGTTTAAAAACTCCTAAGAGTAGACTTAAGGAAACATTCATCCCGTTGCACATACTAAAATCAAGTTTTGTTTTTTTTTGTGATTTTTGCCATAGCTTCGAAGTGTTCTTTATCACATGCAAATATAAATGAGAGCTCTTTGTTATTAGCTCGTACTGTAATTATGCTTTGTATGTGAAGTTCTTCTAATTATAATTTTTAAAAAGGCTGTTCCTACGAAATTCGGTAGCTTTTGAAAAATTAGTATCATTGGAAAACAAAACATATTTTTTGATGGTATCTCCAATATTTTGCTTCTTCTGAGTTCTAGGAATGATATTTTTTAAAGAAAAACACAACACACAGTTCAGTTTGATTCTAGTTGTCATTAAAAGAATGATGCCGATCGAAAAAATGAACGATAGAGTTTATCGAGAAGAACTTTCATATCTCTCTGAAGACAGTATCTGAGAATTTTGAATCGATGATATCTTTTGAGATCTATTTGTCTTAAAAGAATTCATCATTTTTTATTGAATCATTTTCGAGAAACTTCGAAACGAGAAGATTATTTACAAAGAAACATAAAATTCGAATTTAAAAATTAGATGTGAAATAAATGACTTTATTGTTTGCTTTAGAAGAATATTACATATCCATCTTTGGTAAAATCATACTGTAATATAAACAGCTGTAACATAGTAATATCTCTTGCAAATTTGTTGAAATATGAGAAATGATTATTGAAGGCATTTCTTATAATTGATACAAAAATAATTTAATAAATTAAACCGTTTAGAATGATTTTCGATTAGTTCAATTCTAAATCAAATCTGAAATAGTTAATAAATGTCTATTTCATTAATAGAAATTCTATGGTAAATTATTTCTATTATTTGTTTTTCTTATTCTCAATAATTAGGTAATAATATTCCATCATTAACAAAATCAAATACAACTATCATATCACAACCAACATTAAATGAAGTAACATCAACTGATCAATCATCAACTGCAAAACGACAACGAACAGTTCCAATACCAATACCTACATCAGTTATGAATTTTCGTTCATCTTTTCCATCATCATCAACAACAACAACAACAGCAACAACAAATACATTAACATCAACTACAACAACGAATGGTAATAGTGGATCTGATGATCAACGTAAAAAACAAATTCGTGATAGTAATCGTGAAGCAGCACGACGTTGTCGAGAACGTCGTCGACAATATATTGAAACACTTGAAGGAAATTTAGAACAACATAAAGCACAAATAAAACAATTAAGTGATAAATTAGCTCGTGTTGAACGTGAAAATACACAATTACGAGCTATACTTTCTGAAACAAAAATTCTTCATCAAGCACAACGTATTTCAGCGAATGATTCACATGTTGAGTATGCTAATGTTGTTGCAGCAACTGGAATGAATATGAATTCTGAATCAAATCATCAAATTGATGGAAGAACAATACAAAGAAGTTATATTGATAGAAATAATCTTTAGTCTTCCATTATTATTTTTTTTTTTGTTGAACAGTATCTATAAGTATGAGATGATGTTTTGCTTTGAGAGAAAAAAAAAAAAAAAACGAAACAACGTAAAAACAAAAAAAAGGATTCACAAAGTGTTAAGCCGGTTGTATTTTTTCGTTGCTCGTTTTCTCTATATGTATATTTTCTTTCCGTAAAAAAAATAAAAATTTATTTCATTCTTGCAGTGACTATTATTTTTTTGTTCGTTTTTTCTTTTTTTTTTTGTGTTCTGTAGTGCTATACTGTAATTGTACATAAACATATTAAAATAATTCTTTTTACTAACTTTTTTCCCTGTATGTTATGTATGGAGCCAAATCAAATATTTTTTTCTCTTATGTCTTTTGTTTTTATCCTGATAGATCTAAATATGTATGGCTTGAGCATAGACATATATGCGATGATAATTTTTATTTATCTTTTATGCTCTTGTTTGTTGACTGTTTATTCGCCTTTATACTTATGCACTCACTTTGCCACCGATGCCCATATATTAAATGTCTGTTTCATTCTTTTTTTTTCATGCTCTTGGTTGGAATACATTGTTTTGTGGATGAATAATAAATTGGAAGGAAAAAAGAAAATATAATTTTATTTTTTAGATTATTCAAATATTTTACTTGATATTGATCCAAATGAAAAAAAAAATCGTTGAATAACTGATAATAATACAATTCAACAAAAAAATCTAATAATTTAGTTAGTTTTTCATCAAAAAATTAATCATGAAAAAAAAACCATTGTTGTTCAGTACATATTGTTACATATGTAAAACAAGTTTGTTGTATATTATCTTCGAACAATAAAGTATACATCAAGTGTAACAGTCGGATCTCTATCGAATAGTATTATACTAAAGCAGGTAACTATCATGAATTGTATCTTAATTACTAGTTAAATATTTGTTTTATATTTATAGCACCACTATCAGTGCAAAGCAAAGATCATATGACTTATTTCGAAACGATAATACCAGTCATTTGATCGAAATAACCTTTAAATAAAATATAACTATTTAACGTCAAAATAGTCGATAAATGTATAAACTGTCGCTTTTGCAAAGGGTAAGTTATCAATAGTTTTTCTTTTCAAATTTGTAATGTATGTACAGACAGAGATGTAATTACTAGTGAAATATCCACGAAATTAATCTTATTCATTTATTTAGAGAGCGTATGAGGATGCCAAGATGGTGAAGAAGAGGTATATAATATAATGTCTCATAGGGATATTCAAAATAAACAAGATCTTACTAGTTTTATTGAATAATGATGAATAATTTACAATTTTAGTGCGAATATACACATTCATTAATTTCGCAGCTTCTTCATGTATTGATCCAATATTTTAATGTAAACACTAGTCAATGTTTTTGTTTTTATTGACTGGCAAGCAAGATTCTTGCCTAAAGAAAAAAAACAGATCTTCACATTCTAGCAAGATCATATAGATCATATCTTACGTGTTAGTCAAGAATTGCTGTACTAGTACGATCTTTTTTTTTTTCGTGAATTCTTGTTTGAGTCTCTTTTTTTTAAATTCCTTTCTGATTCAGGTGTAACTTTTTTATAAATCATCATGATCATCTTTTGTCATTACTGTTTCATATGTACTACAGATTTTCAGCAAAGTACACGATAAAGTAATCGATAAGTATAGTACCAAAACAATACATCCTATTTCACATAACATGCAAAAAGAACAAAACAATTTTACAGTCAAACTATAAATCTAACATGTACATTATTAAGCAAAAAAAAGGAGAAAAACAAATTATCGGAGCCATCTATTTACTTTAAAATTTATAGTTTTTATAGTTCACCATCTTCATCATCTAGACCTGATAAATATTCCCTTACTATTGAAGTTCTTTGTCTTAATAGATTTTTATTAATTAATTGTATGATTCTTTCTAATTAAATTGAACACGATTGTAAGTGCCCATAGACATAATAAAATACATTCTAAATAAAAATGAACTGTTGTAGCGTAGAAATGAATAACTAACATTCAAATGTTCGTAGTTGGGTAATTTCAGACAAAACATGCTCACTTTTAATTTGATTTTGGTTCTTTATAAAGGTTTTTTTTCTAACTAAGTTCTTGTAGCATAGATATCTGTAAAATCTTGGCTCTTTAAGGTGACTATTAATTCTGTGTGTGTATATTAGAGTTCCGTGATTCTAAAAAAAGCTTGAACAGAAATCGTTAAATCATCAGATAGATAAAAACAATTCAACAGTAGAAATTTCTTAAAATATGTTTTAAATATTCGAATCTATCTGGTAATTGAATGGTTTCGGTTACGTGTGAAATTTTGAGAACTGAACCGGAACTATTTTTTCTTAATTTTAGTAACCGGAACCTATTTTTTCTCATTTTTACTAATAAGAATCAATTTCTTTTTTTTATATTGAGTCATCGGAACCGAGGTTCCGGTTCCGAGTAATTCTTAAGAACACTAGACTTTATTGTGCCTATAAATCATGCGTTACTTTGCTTGAACGTCCAATAACAATCTTTTATTCGAAAAACAAAGAATCTTCTCTAAATTTCAAGTGAACTTGGATATCCTGTATATTGTTTCCATGTTCTTATTTTTTTTTTGTATCATTACGACAAGATTTCTTGTTATCTTGAATCGTGAACAAGTATCGTTTTCCTTTCTTGTAGAACATCGACTAGTGATGACGAACATAGTAATCATCATATGCTACTAATTTATATGAATAAAATGATTTAAAAGTATATTTTGATTTAGGTTCATCTTCAGTTGGTATACCAGTTGCTGTAACTCTTCTTGTTATTTTATCAACTAATAGTTTTTAAAAATGAAATATTGTTATTCGTATTGTTTTTATCTTGCGAAAAAACAAAAACTCAATTAAAAAGAAATTAAATTTTTTTAATAGAATTTAGTTAAAAATTTTAGAATTCAACTAAATCAAATAATAGATGCGTTTAATGATGAAAATGCTGGTGATAAGAAATATTCCAATGCTCGATATGTAGTCGAAGTTTTATCTCAGCAATATAATGAATTAACGCCATTGATTATTGATTCTACGAAATCTGTTTATGTTCGTCGTGAATGAAACCATATGTGTAATCAATCCAAAAGAAAAAAAACGTCCTCACTTGTCATTTTGGTGCGTTCTAGCTGTTGTTTTGTACTATATGTATACTTTCTTCAAACTTAAGTATAAAAACTGTATGCTGATTAACAAAAATCAGAAAAGAATTTTTTATAAATAAAATTGATATTTACATATTGATATATTCAATAAATTGAAAAAATCTTGTTTTGCTTTTCAGATGATGTTTATAATTCCTCTTTTTTTAATACATTGTTTAACTTCCATATCAGCTAAAGTGACTTATTGTAAGAAAACCTTTCTTTTTTTTGTTTAACTATTAGAATAAAGTTTTTTTTTCATTATTTCCTCTTTGTTTTTATTTTAGTTAATCTTGAAAATATCTATGGACCATATTGCAATCCAAGAAATACATATACACCAGATGCAGGCGTTGTCCGATATGCTGGGTATGTTTAAAAAGAAAATTTTCTTTGAATTAATAATTTCATTTATATTTATTTAGAACTCCATGGACAGGTACATGTGAATTGAATTTACAAAGTTGTTGCTTTCCAGCACCACGTAATTTATCTCAAATGGGTAATATAGCCGTTTCAACACGATTTTATATACGTTTACTTAAACCACCATTATGTTCAACAGAAGATGTTACTATTATATCTGAATCCGGTGAAAAAGTAATTAAAAAAAAAAATTCCCAATCCTAAATGTGAACTGATACATTGACCAGTGGCTAAAAATTTTTTCAAACTTTTCTTAATTTCAAGAAATTTTGAAATGAAAAGAAATAGTAAAGAACTTATTGACAAAAAAAAATCAGATGTAGGACTTCGGAAATTCTTAAAAATCAAATATCTATTCTCGTGTTGTGGCTTAATCACTTTGAGCACTGGTGACCACATTTTTAAAAATTCTGCAGCCACTGGTGGCGATGATTCAACGGATCAGTCTACACCTATCTTATTCAATTATAGCTAGTAATGAATATTTTTTTTTGTTGATTTTGTTTAAGATTTTTATTGATTGTAATGTGACAGATGGTAGTGAATATTATTTAGATACTGAAAAATTAACAATAATTTATGATCGAAGAGAAAAATTTCCTCTATCACCATTTGCAATGATTGTTACACCATTAAAAATAAAAACAAGTAAGTTAAGAAATAAAAATTTTTTTTTTTTTTTAAATATTTGTAATTTATAGGAATGTTTACATTATGTGGATTTGATTGTTTTACGGATACATATTGTATTGATCGAAGTCTTCTTTGTGATCGATTTCAAAATTGTCCGAATAATGTTGATGAAGCTCATTGTGAATATCGTATGTTTTCTTTTATTTATGACATTTTATTGTATATCTATTTGTTTTTTTTTCTATGTTATATGATTTAATAGATCATAATCATCCGTCATTATCACTTCAGGCCAAAATAATTCTTCTTGCTGTTTTATTAACGATCATATCATTTGATGTTTTTTCTATATTAATTTGCTATTTTTGTTGTGGAATTTCAAATCAACGTCATAATGATATGAAAGATGAAAAACGAAGTATGAAATTTAATAATATTTTGTTTCGAAAGAAAATAAAGAAATATTATTTTTATTTATTTATATTTAGCTCCTACGTTATTAGAAGAAGGTGCTGCTGTTGCTACTCCACTTTTGCAATCAACAATCTCTACCGACAATAATCAATCTCATTGAATGAACAACGTCTAATATTTAGTTTTTTAGTTCCTATGCCAGTTATCGTTTTTTTGTTTTTTATCTAGTCATTTATTTTTCTTTACCTTTTTTTTTTTTTAAAGTAATAATCAGACATTTATTTTTTATCGTTCAGATAAAATAGATTTTACACATTAGTTTATTTTTTCAATATTTTTTTTATTCATCTCATTATTATTTGTTTTTATTTATCTATGAATTGAATGCAGCGAAGAAACATAGATTAAATAAAAACATTTTTTGTCCGACTTATTCGTCCTAATTGGTTTACAAAAAAAGTCATCATTAAAATAATAATAAGATGAATAAAAACGCAAAACAAAAAAAGAATTTCTTTTATTCGATTTTTATTTTATATGTATTGTTTAAGTTGAAGAAGTTTTTCAATAAATTGTCGAATAAATAATGGTTCAGCATCACTATCAAATCTCATTATTGGATGTCCATTTGAATCGATAAGAAATTTTTCAAAATTCCATCGTATATCATCTGAATGATGTGATTCATAAAAAATTTTTGTATGATCTTCAAAAAATTTTTTTGTTGATGGTATACAAGATTTCATATATTCATATAATGGATGTTGATTTTTACCATTAACATCAATTATCCAAAATAAAGGAAATTTTGGAATAAAATTATTTCCTGGTCGAATATATTTTAAACCATTTAATAATTCATCTTTTGTTTCAGCTGGTTCTTGATAACCAAATTGATTACATGATATAGCAAGAATAGTAAATTGATTTGTTTTAAAAAATTCTTCTTGTAATGCATTCAATTGTATATATTGAGATGTAACACGTCAATATGTAGCTACATTAACAATTAAACATAATTTATTTTTATATATTGATAATGATTGTTTTTCTAAATCAAGATTTTCAAGTTCAAAATCATAAATAGTACGTGTATGTTCACATGTACGACAACGTGTAAATGGTACACGATTATTTTTATCTTTGACTATCAAAGTAATAAAAAAAAAAACATCGAATTTTATCTGAAGTAAAAAGAGACTATTTTTTTGTTTTACAAAAATTCATATCAAGTCCAACTGTTGAATAATGTTTAAGTAGATTTGTAATGAAATCTCGTTGTTGTTGTTGTTGTTGTTGTAGATTTTTCTTCTGTTCGTTGTTATCATTTGAGTCTCTATCCTTGACCGTAGTGGTAGGTAACGACAACATTTATTTTTTTTTTTCACTGTTCTTCTTTGTGCAAAGCAAAGAAAAGAAAAGAAAAAGAACGAAAAGAAGTTTATATGAAAATAAAAGAGGCACGTAGCAACGCAATGATTATTTATTTGCTTTTTTTAGATAATAATGTCTTATCCACCATTTGAATTAGGCAAAAGCCGTTATGATCTTGTAAGCTTAATTATTGTCGTATTTTTAATTAAATTAAATCGATTACTTAATTAGAATACTTATTGGGGACGATTTTTACATTTTATGAATATTATTGATCCAAGAACATTATTTGTTAACAATGTAAATCCAATTATTAGTATTTACATTAGTAATAACTTTATTTTATTTTTTCCTTAGTCGAAATTAAATGAATGTCGTCAATTACTCGAACAACATCAATCGAAAACTTTACCATCAGGTACTACTGACAAAGATTTATGGGAAGCACAAAAAACCGTACAAGTTAGGTTTCATTTTCATTATATATATTATTTTTTTTGTATTATTAATATTTTATAAATTTATTATTAGGCTATTCTTCATCCTGACACAGGACATAAAATCTTTATGCCATTTCGAATGGCAGGTAAGATTTCTCTTTAATTAACTTATCTTCATTGAAAACAAAAAAAAAAAAGAAATTAATAAAAATATTTATTAAATTTACCATTCAAGAACGGTTGAAAAAAAAACAAAGAAAAGTCAAAATATACTTAAATTTTCTTTTTTTTTTCAAGCAATATATCATTCGATGTTTAAAGTAAGATCATTGATTGTGTGAATACTAGTATCCTGCGGGAACGACTTTTTCTGATTCCCATTCCCTATTCCCATTCCCTAAATAAAAAATTTTGGTTCCCATTCCCTTTTTCCCATTCCCTAAAAAAAATTTTTGTTCCCATTCCCTTTTTCCCATTCCCTAGAAAAAATTTTTTGTTCCCATTCCCACGTTCCCATTCCCATAGTTCCCATAAGATTTTCTAAGGCTCTGTTCATCTATGCGAAAGTGTCATTGGCATATATGTATACCAGTTTCTCGCAACATCACGTTTTGCGCATCGCGACGCTGTTACATAATGCTTCACTTATTTTCTTTTTCTGTTTTGTTGTGCTTGTTGGCATTGGTTAAGCAGGTGTTCCTGCGTATATGCACTATACATTCAAGCTGGTGTGCTTTTTCCTTAAAAAACTGTTCCACTGTGTAATTAGAAAATGTATAGTCCAACATAGTGTTCATCATATAGAGAGAATGTTCCTCTTATAGTAAAGTGTCCCCCTCCCCTCACCCAAATAGAAAATCAAAAAAATTATAGATAAATATGGAGATTATTTATTGATAAATCGTTCGTTTTTTTGTTGTAAATAACCTTAATATTTATTTATAGTTTTTTTTTATTTTCTATTTGAGGGAAGGAAGAGAAAATAATGATGTATCGCAAGATGATCTTGGTAATGTCATTTTCGAAGTCGATGATGAAAAAGAAAATAATATTTGTGATGATTAAATTACGATGTGATTAAGAATAAATCAATAGTCTATTTTTTGTTGATACACATTTGTTATTTTTTTGTTAATTGTATATGAATAAGAAAAGTTATTGAAAATAAACAGTTATCAGATAGAAATATTTTTATATGTGTTGAAATAAGATAAAAAGAATTTTGGGAACGTCAATTTTTAATTCTGTTCCCATTCCCATGTTCCCATTCCCTAAGTCTAAATGAGAATTCCCATTCCCATGTTCCCATTCCCTAAGTCTAAATGGGAATTCCCATTCCCATGGGAATGGGAATGGGAATGGGAAAATTAGGGAAAAAAGTCGTTCCCGCAGGACACTAGTGAATACCTTTTCTTTTCTCAATATCTATCTTTATACCATGATTTCTAATCTTATCCTATCAAATGCAGAGACTTTTTACCTATAGTTAACAAATATTTGCCAATCATTTCCAAACAATATTTTTATTTATTTTATTGCTTTTCTTTTTTAAATACACTTTATAGTTTTCTGTTTTTTAAAGGATATGTTCCATTTGGCACACCAATTGTTGTTGGTCTTCTTATGCCAGATCCAACACTCAAACAAATTATTTTTTGGCAATGGCTCAATCAAAGGTATATAAATAGATACACATAAAATAAAATTGAAGTAAATTTTATTATTTGTTGATTTATATATCGTTTGATAGAACTTGAAGAGTTGCTTACGAATATATGCTTGTTGTTTCAATTGAAGCTTTTTTTTTACCATTTCATTGTAAAAAAAAAACTCCAATTGTTGATAAGACTACAGATCGAACCAAAATCTTTTTTTTTCTCAAAACAACTCTTAAGTTTCCGTTATCTTTTTTTTTGTAAACCTATTAAAAATAGATTTTAAATTTAGTATTAAAAAAAAAATATTATCATATTAGATTTAAAATAAGTAGCGTAATAAACTGTTATCAATTTGAGCAGGCTTATTTAAATATATGCATATACATTTTTGTAAGCCTATCTAGTTTTCTTTTTTTTTTTTTTTTTTGATGATAGAAGATAAGATCATAAATGTCTTATCTCATTTGAATCAGTCGATTTCGAGCCATAAAAGTACACATTTGGTTTTTGTTTTCATGTTTTGTTTTATTATTGAGAAAATCGACTGTTTCGTGACTTTCATAACAAAAGAATCGAAAATGACCTTGTTTATTGTACTTTTTAGTATGAAAACTAAGCCGAAAAACAAAATTAATAGCATATGCAGAATCAGGGTGAAAATCTACACTAGATTACATGCATTTTAGCTAAATTACTTTTACATGGAAAACGCACTTGTATTTCCACTCAATGTGTTTCCTCTAAAATTGTGCCTCGAGTCGATTTTCTATTCGACACAACATTGGCTAAAATGTATGTGAATCAGCATAGATTTTTCTTGCTGATACTGAAAATGTTAGTTATTTTGTTTATCAATTGAGTTTTGACAAGAGAAATCCTTACAAACAAGGTCATTTTTGACGTTTTTACCACTAAAGCTAGGAAATGTTCGATTTCTTAATGATAAAACAAAAGCTTGAAAAATCTAAATACTTACTTTTTTATTTCGAAACCAATGGATTCGCATGAGATAAGAAAGTTGAGGTTACATCTCTTGTCATAAACAAAAAGCTATATAGGCGTACAAAAGTGCACATGCACATATTCTATAAGCTTGCTTACATTGATAGCGGTTTATTACGCGACTTATTCTAAATCTAAGAAAATAAGATTTTTTCTATTTAGTTTTTGATGCTGAATATAAAAAATCTTTTTAAAAAAATGTCGAAAAAATATAATAGAAACTTAAGAGTTGTTTTGAGGAAAAAAAAAGAATTCGGTTAATATCTATGATCTTGTCAGAAATTGAAGCATTTTCTAACAAAGAGATTAACTAATTAATATCAAGTATAAAATTTGTAATCAACTTTTCAAGCTCTATCAAATCATATATAAATCAATGAATAACAGAATTCACTCCAATTTTCCGCAATGTACATCTAATAAAACAAACAAAACTTATCAATCACGAAATAATTATCATCATTTAGTCATAATGCTGGTGTTAATTATTCAAATCGAAATGCAACACAGCATACACCTGTATCGAAATTTGTTATTGGATATTTAAGTGCAGTGACTGTTTCAGTTTCGATTGCTGTAAGTTATTTATTTATTTTCACATATCTTTATATGTTTATATTGATAGGTTGGTCTTACTGTGGCTGTTCGCCGAGCAAGATCACTTCCACCAACACTGAAAACAATTGTACAACGATTTATTCCATTACCTGCTGTTGGTAAGATAAATTACATATCCTCATATGATAAATCATCATTCAGTACATCGCTCAGTTGTTGTTTTTTTTGTTCAATATGAAAGTATAATAAGAGTTGTCAGTTTTGAAAAATATTATTCGATTTTGTTTTTTATGCATATACAAAATTTCGTAAATATGTTAATTTATATTGAATTTTAATTATAGCATGTGCAAGTACATGTAATGTTCTTTTTATGCGTTTTCATGAATTATATGATGGTATCGAAGTACTCGATGAAGAAAATAATTCAATAGGTGTATCAAAAGTAGCAGCTAAAAAAGTTATTAATTTTTTCCACTTTTAACGATATCATATCTATATAAATATAAATTAATATCTATATTTAGGCTTTAACTGAAATGGCAATGACACGTGCTTTTTTACCAGTACCAATCCTATCTCTTCCACCTATTATAATGTTAGCATTCGAAAAGTAAGATTGTATTTTTTTTTTTTTTATTAATGTAAATAAACTAAAAAAAATAAAATATTATCTATTAATAGAAATATTCTTCGTCGTTTTCCACGTCTTAATTTACCATTAAATACACTTGCATGTACAATTTCATTTGGTTTAGCATTACCAATGTCAATAGCATTGTTTCCACAAAGATCTAAAGTAAATATCAAATTCCTTTTTTTTTTTCTTTTTCTTTTTCTTAAAGAGTTTTGTTTTATTTTCTAGGTAGCTACTAAAGAACTTGAAAAAGAAATTCAATCAAAAACACAACTACCTTATGTTTATTATAACAAAGGACTATAAAACCAACTTCAGTATTAATCATTGATACTTTACATCTATTTTAAAATTAATTTTCTTCCAATTTTTTTTTTTTTTTTAGTTTTTTTAGAGTTACAAGATAAAATAATATTTACTCACTGTTTAGATATTCTTGTAATTATATATTAATTTACTAAAATGCATTATTTTTGAGCAGATTTACTAATATATTGTAGTTCTTTTTTTTTTATTTAATAATTTCCATAGGGAAAGATTTATGTTACTAGAGGGGCACAATCAGATGAAATATTTTCGAGAAGTATTCATCACTATGTAAGAGCACAAATAAGTATTGAGTTTGTCAAGAATAACAAGAAAACTCGATACTTGTTTATTACTTATACTGAATAAATTAAACTCACTCTCGCCTTAACAAATCTTTGTGAGCTTTATGTTGAATTCTTACATATAAATACTTGCTTTTATAGACGTCTTCGCATTCTTTCTCATACGGGGGTCTAACTATTTATTATTAGTTGGAATTTCTTGTATTCTACTAAACGAATAAACTTTTTATTATAGATAATCAATCATAACGACAATAGAACCTTCGAAAATTTGTTCATTTATAATATTCTATGTTGTTATTCGCACGGGTCATTTTAGTAGAAATACTGTTAATTTGACAAATAAACGACAATGCCAAGGTTAAAATACTAAAAAAATCTCAAACACATCTGCCGCCATTCAATATTTTGACTTGAAAACTGTCATTTAATTGTCAAATTAAAATTTTCTTTTTCGTCAAAACGATCAGCACAGCTAGTTTCATCGAGTTTAATAGACGGATACATTTCCGAAGAGCTTCTTAGTTTTTTATCTTTGACTATTATCTGTAGTGGGATCTACCGGTGGGTTATCTTGCCGTGAATATGCTAATGAGGTATGAGTCTTATGTAGAAAACAAATTTCAAACCAAATCAACACTTAATATCAAAAGCAGAAATAGAACAAAAAGTCACTTTTTTCAGATTATTTAGCAGAGAGAATACTAATATTTTGTCATTTTAATGTACTTCTGATTATCTAATTGGTAAGCTTTATGGCTAATAGGATTCTATGTAACAAGATGTTGTTACTACTTGATCTTATCAATATGTTGACAAATCGAACGATAATTATCAAATAGATCAAAACAAAAATTCAAATGCAGAACATCATTTTTTGTTTTAAATTCTCTTTTTTTTTTTTAGATAAAAAAAAAATATGGCATTCTTCAATTTGACTTTAATGGGTTATGATAATCGATTTAAATCTATGAAACGTCTTGAACCAACAAGTACACAAACTGATTCAAAGGAATTAAGAAAAGTTCCAGTAGTAGGCCAAAGTAAAAGTGCACTTGAAAAACAATTAGCTCGAGAATTAGCTGGAGATTTACAATCACGCGAATGGGCATCACCTGCTGTATCGAATTTGTAAGAATTTAATTAGTTAATAAATTAGAAAATAATATTGTATAATAACTAGAAATTATCATACTCTACGTCAAATGCATGTGCGTGGTGATCAAAATCCGAATCAAATTATGAGACGTCCAATGACAGCTGCTCAAGAAGGTAAATGATTGAAAAAAAACTTTTTTTTTTCTTGATATAGAATATATTTCCATGGTATAATTAGTTGGCTGGTGGACGAAAGATGAACCATTAAAAGTAAAAGAACCATGGACTCAAGAAAAACGTCATGTTCATGCACAATCTGAAATGACTAAGTGAGATATTTGAAGATTTGATTTTTTTTTTTTAAGTTTCTATTTTGTTTACTATTATTTTTTTATATTTTAGATTTGTCGATGATATGGTTCTAACAGATCGTTATTTTCGTCTTTTTTAGTTTTGTTCTATAATGAATTACTTTTTCTTTTTCTTCTCTAATCCGTCCATTAATAATAACGAGTGACCTATAAAAAATGAATCTCTCAAGATTTTTTTATTGTTCTCAGAAAAATTTCAATATAATGAGACAACTTTTTTTTCTTTATCAAGAATTTTACATTCGACCTTGTGAGTGATTTAGTCAGTCTTCGATTTAATTGTAGAATACTCTAATCAATTATAAGCTTGGAAGTAATCCTAATGAAATCTTCAGAAGTATCAAAGACATAATTATTTGACCAAATGATTGTTTTTTGTTAATTAATAAGGCAGAAATCAATACAAATTCTTTGAAACTTTATGCATAGGATCATCTTCTGTATCTAGAGGAAATACATCTATGATTTGTTTTTACAACAATCAATGTTCTCTGCTAGGGAGTCAAAAACGCAATTATGTCTTCGATTCTTCTGAGGATTTCATTAAAACTAGTTTTGGATTAATAATTAATCGACATTTTATGTGATTAAGAGTTAATGCTAACGAAATAACACACAAAGTCCAATGCAAACACTTTAGTTTAAAAAGAAAAAGAATTCTGAACGTGATATATCTTGAATCTATTCGTTTTATTGAATGTAAGCAAATAAGTTATGCTATTTCATATACGTGAAAGATGCAACTTTGTAGAGACTCGAATAAAGAATCCATTACCAAAATAACTGTGACGTTATATTGTGAAAGGCTACTGAGAAACATGTAAAATACTGAGAGTTCTATTTTTTTATGGTTTACTTGTCAAATAATAATTTATTTAATTTTCGTTTTTATTCTCAATAAATATTTTTTTGGAATATTATTTAATTAAGAATATCTCAAATGAAATCTTTTTTTTTTTTCAGTTAAATATGAAAATAATCATATTTGGTGCTAGTGGTAGTGTTGGTTCGGAATGCGTTCGACAAGCCATTGAAGATAAAAATATTGAACATATAACAGCTATTACACGACGTCCTCTCGACAAGAATCTAATCTCTGATAAACTTACTAATATTATTCATACAGATTTTCTCGATTATAATTCATTGTCAAATCTATTTGAAAATCATCAAGCATGTATATGGGCATTAGGCATATCACAAAATGCTGTTAATGAAAGTGAATATATTAAAATTACACATGATTATACATTAGCAGCTGCTAAAACTATAGCACATGTTAATCCAAATATGCGATTTATATTTGTTAGTGGAACGGGTGCTGATTCAACAGAACAAAGTCGATTTCTATTTGGTCGTATTAAAGGTAAAACTGAAAATGATTTAGTTAAAGAAAGTGGTCTTAAAGAAATATATACTGTACGTCCGGCTGGTATTTTATTTACACAAATACATTCAAATAAACCTTGGTATGAACGAGCTTTTGTACCAATATTATATATTTTTAAAGCAATCAAACCATCATGGGTTATAACATCAATAGGATTAGCACGTGCAATATTATATTTAGTCAAAAATGGTCATCATGCAACATTATTTGAAAATCAAGATTTAAACAATATTATTAAAGAACATCATCTTATTCATTGATAGAATTTATTTATTATTATATTTTATTTTGGCTTATTGTTTATCTCTGCTTGCACACAAAAAAAACAGAGTATTTATATATATATATATATTCTATGTAACAGTCGAGCATTGTAAAACGCATTTGTTGTATTAAATTAGAACATAAATGTTTGTGTATATATATATATAGAAGAAGAAAAAAAGGAATTCAATTGACAGAAATATAGAGAGAAGAAAACTAACCAAACGAAAAAAGAAAAACAGAATTCCACTGTTCGACAAACAAGAATTAATTTAAAGAAAATGTGCAAACAAAAGAAAATGGACGAAATTAAGAGAAAAGAAAATAATAAGAAATGCAGATTAATCATATTTTGATGAATAATCAAAAAAAAAAAAAAAAGAAAAACTCAAGAAATTATTTTATTTAATTGTACAATAATTAATCCGTCTTTTAACAACTTTGAATAAAGAATAAATAAGTCAACAAAGCTTCACGCTGAAAATAGATATACAAGCTCTGCACAACATACACACACACACATATATACGCACACATATACTTCTCTTTCTTTTTTGTTCATAATTTATTTAAGTTTTGTAGGATTGCCTGAAATGTTCATTGGAAGTGCTAAAATAAAGAAAATTCATATATACATTTTTTGCTTTTTCTTTATTATTTTCATACATGAATTTGAAAACATCGATTGAGTGTTCTTATTCATCATCATCGATGATGATGAACCACTATTTGTTGGACTAAGTAATTGATTGAGTGGTAAAGAAGTTTTTTGAGCATCACCACGAGTATGTGGTATGAGATTATTTAATGATATATCAATTTTTCCTTGTGCTGATGACCAAGTATTCTGCAAAAATAACAGATATTTGTACATTAAAAAAAAAATTTTTTTTTTTTTTTTTGTTTATAAAAGATTTTCCTTATTCACACAAATCTGTATAAATTATAAGATAGAAGAATGCAAAAACAAAAAAAGAAATCATATAATTAGTTAATTCACTCCCTAATAATAAGCAGCAAATATGTTATAACAGCAAATGATACCTGTTTGTCTACAACTTTTGGTTGCTCTTGTTTAGCAACTTCAGGGAATACATCGGGAAATATGGCCTATAACAAATGGCTGTTTTCGTATTCTCTGATCGATAATTATTCTTTCTATTTATTGAATTTCTTACGGATTTTTGAACTTACATTAAATGAATTATTATTTGGCTTATTAAATTGTTGTTGAGTTGATGAAAACATCATTGGTTGTTGAAACATTTGTGGATGTACAAATGATTGTTGCTGTTGTTGTTGAGTAGGAAAAAACATTGATGTCTGTTGAGTCGGTTGAGACGATGGAAAAAATAAATTTAAATCATTTGAGAATGTTTTATTTGTTGTTGGTGGTGGTGATGGTGAATTCATTGGTTGTAAAAGATTATTTGATGTTGATGTTGTTTCTCCTAATGTTTCAAATGGATCAAATATTAATGTTGCTGGTGTTGATGTTGGTGGTACAATTGATGCAGTTGTTGTTGTTGGCCAAATAGAAGGTTGTGTTCTAAATAAAGATTTGATTTTTATAAGATAAAATAAAAAAAAGAAAAACAAGAACATTTACGTAGAAATTGGTAATGTTGCTTGTTGAGTTGGAATGATAGAGGCTTCTTGAAATTGACCAAAATCATCATCAATAGATGATGACACACCTGTAGCTTGTACATATGGTGTAAAGCCGTCATCATCACCTAATAAATCAGGAATAGGAGGTTGAGGTGTTGTTTGAATTGGAATAGGTGGAACCATTTGTGGCTTTTTATTTGTTGTTGAAGACTTAAAAAGTAAATAATTTTTTTGTTTTTGTTTAAATAAACAAATGAGTAAATATGCAATAAAAGATCCTTATCATACATATAACATGACTATTATTTAGTTTCGTGTCATCGATACATTCAGTAGCATTTTATGAAGAAAAAATTAACTTTGTACTAGAGATATTTTAAGTTAAAATAAAAAGAACAAAATATTATTGTAATGTTTTATTAAAATATTCATCAAATGAATAAGAATACTTTTCATATTGCTTCATTAAAACCAAAACACTTTTGTTTTTTTATGTTAAAGAGACTTGTTCATATTTTTGTCAAAATGTTTCATATTTGCATTAAGACAGTGATGCCAACCTTCCAATTTGGATGCATGTGTGGTATTAGAGAAGCCAAATATCTACACTCATACACACTAATAGAAAACGTTTCTCAAGTCTTTCTACTGATGGTAACATTTGTTTTTATTTAGTGTACTACTTTCTAAGGAAAGAATTTTTTTGTATAATTCTGAAATAGTTCAAAAAATAACTTGTCGATAAAACGAGAAGATACTATCGAATAAAATATCTTCTTTATGAAACATCTGATAGAATCTTTATTATTCAAAAATATGAAACAAGTTCTAATGAAAAAGAATTATTCATTAGAATCATATTGTTCATATGAGTGCATCAATTATTAAAGCTCGAGTTCATCCGTTAATATTCTTGATTAAGTAACTATATTTTTATGAATGAAAGCTTGGCGAAAAAGAACAAAAAAAACAAAACATTTTCACAATTTCATACAATTCTCTTATCTTCTATTTATTTTTCAACTTACTCGATTTTGAGCAGATGTTTGAGCAGTATTACTTGGTGTTGGAGATTTTTTTACTTGAAAATCACTTTCCTATATATATATGAATAAATTATTTTATATGATTAACACAAAAAAGAAAGGCATAAGTCATCGATAAATTTTGAAATAACAAAAAACTTAATCTTTGCATAATTCATAGTTATATAAATAAATAAAAAAAGAATAATAATAATGCTTTTAAAAATTTGTCTTAAAGCAATTTTATTTACACTTAATAATTGTATAGTAATAAAAGAATCATTTTCATTATGATAAAAAAAATTCTATATTTCAAAATGATTTCTTTTACTTTATTCAATTCAATTTACCTTTGTTTTATTTCGATAATCATTTGTTTGATCTTTCCATGGTGTATCATGAAATTGAGTATTTTTTTTAGAATATTGATTCTCATCATCACTACAAAAAAACAAAACGAAATACATATAGAATATTATTACAAAAAAAATTTGCTCAGTATATTATGAATGGATAAGATAATGCATTCATCAATCTATTATCAGATGACGCGCATGAAATTTATCATCATAGCAAATTTTATTGTATTTTAATGATCACCTAATGTCTGGTGAATAATCATTTGATGGACGTCGTTGATCAAGTACTAATTCTTTAACTTTACTTGCTATATCTTCGGCTTTATTAAAACCTTCTTCAAGTATAGATGGATTTGTTGAACGCCATCGACCATCTAATTCTACAAAATCTTTTCTTTTTGTTGTTGAATTATTTCCATCATTTGAATCATCATAATCAGTCCAACGATCACCTAAAAAAAAAATCGATATTAAAAAAAAAAATTTCTAATTAAAAAACTTACTATAACGAGAAGATGATGCATCACTACCAACACCAATATATTTATCTCGATTAACTTTTGCTTTTTTACGTTCATCTCGAAGTCGATCATCATCTTGAATAAATTCAATAATTTCTTTTACTTTATGACGCACTATAAATAAACAATCTTCTTTTTAAAAAAAAAACTTCATTTAGAAAAATAATCTTTTTACCATTTATGCCTTGATCTTTGCCTTGTTCATCAGTATAAGCAAAATTTTCTAAACTTTTAAGATCATAAAGATGTTCTCTTGCTGATGTTACGACTTTTTCACTACCATTTTTTATTAAATAGAGTAAAACGAGAAGTGACTAAAATAATGAATAAAAGAAATCATCTGTTCCAGTTGTTGTTTTAATACAAAGCAATTAACATAAAAATTTTTAGTCTGCTTGAGTTTTTTTTTTTTTTTTTAGTTATACTAACATTTCCTTCAGATGAAGTACGATATAAAAAATTTATTACTTTGAGAACACAATCATATTTACAGTTGAGTGTTTTAAACAGCTACTATTTACATAATTATACTTCGTGCATATTAATTGTTTCAACGAAAACTGAATGAATATGCATAAAAAAAAAAATAACAATTCGTTTCAATTTATTTTTATAAGTATAGTAATAAATATTGTGAAAAAGAACAGAAAAAAGAAACGATACGACCGATCTTGTATGCATTTTGAAATGTGCAGAGTATACTTTTTTCGTACTCTATACTTTGACTGAGAAAATTGTTTTTACCTTTGCCCTATGAAGTTCTCATCTGATTGTTCCTTATTATTAACATAGCTAAAAAACTTTAAATAGAGCACGTTGGATTAATTCCGGATTCAATTGATTCTATCCGACACATGTTTCAGACGACTCGTTTGAAAAATACGTGAAGTGTACTAGTAACCGAATCTAAAATACTGAGAAAAAGTATCTCATATCTATGACACAGCTATCTTATTCAGACTAGAAAATCTCATTGTAAGTGTCAAAGTACAGTTCTACTGGATCCAAAAGTTTTGAATCTTACGATCTATAACTCTAAGTGATAAATTGCAAAATAGTATCACAACAGAAATGCGCCGACGACGTCTTTTTTTTTTCGTAGCCTGCTTTAGAAAAATTTTCTAATCGTGATCCTACAAAATATTTACCATTACCCCACTCTACTCTACAACAAGTTTACCTTGACCCCATTTTACCCTATCCTCTACAATAACGCAGAGTAATCCTACACATCTTTAAATCTATTATGATATGATACAATACCATTGTCTTATATTAATTTTCTTGAAAATGTTCAATGATCTATCGAGTTACAATGTAAACATAAAAGAAAGACTACTAATTGCTAATATTTATTTAGCTTGTTGTCAAGAATGTTGAACAACGTACTTTATAGGTTCGTCGCCAATACTTTTTGTCTTGTCCAAAACATCGTTTCCAAAGCATTCCCATTACCTATAATAATACAAAAGTTAAATATAAATATAATATTGATAATATATAATGTACCTCATTATAATGTTCATATGAATATGATAGTTGAGAAAGTTCTTGTAATAATTTTCCAGGTGGTCCCCAAGATTCATCATTTGTTGCTTCAACAACTTTTGCTTCTGTTTCCGTATAATTCATAACAATATTTGTTGCTTTGTCAAATAATTCACGAACTTTATAAGGCATTGCAGGTATATAATTACTTAAATTGATTTTACTGAGATCCATCTTTGCTAGTTTTCTTTCTATCAACTTCTTCAAATAATAAAATTTTAACAATAACAGGAAGCAACAGATAAGGATTAAAAAACACAAAAGAAACAAGGTAAAGAACGGTTTATGTCAATGAAGAAAAAAAAAGTTTGAAATGCATAGTACAGGAGGGAAGAAGTACAAGGTGATGGATGACAACCCTATCGAGATGGATCAAACAAAGCTGGTAATAGAGTCGAAAGTGATGATGGTGACGAAGACAACAGCCATTCAAGTAGTACAACGCTAATTATTATTGGACTTCCTTTATATTCTATTTATATTTACATTTTTATATTAGATTTTTAATAGAAAAAATTATATATATTATAATTTAAAATAAATTAATTAAAATAAAACAAAAATTATTTTTATATGATGTCGCTAAGAGTATATCAAAGTTTGTTCATTATTAATCGACCAATAAAAATATGTATACTAGAGCTCGATAGTTTCGATTCGATTATTACTCAACTTGTCATGATTATTGATCTGAAAGTAAGATGTTTATTAATGTATATATTGTTTTTATCAATTTCTTTATTTTAGAACATAATGAAAACTCTTGATCGTCGATATGGAATGACATATCGTCGTTTAAAACGAAGGTAGGTAAGTCAAAATTTATTGATTTTTGTAATTAAATATCATTGAATCAAAATATTTCTATTGATGTAGGTTTTAATTAAGTGTTTTCTTTCAACAAAAAAAAAAAACAATATGCATTTTGGAATAACAATCGGTGGTCGATTTTATATTATTCGACAGTATGATTTTGTAATTTATTATACAGTAGATATAAGATCACATTAAACTAGAAATAGTTAGTCGATTGTTTTCTTAGGAATCATTCGAGTACGTTTTTTTTTTTTTGTTGATATCAAAATTGAATATGTTTCTTTTACTTCGCCGTATTCATTCTTCTAATAGAATAATTTTTGTTTTATTTTTAATTAAGATCTCGACGATCAATTCTATTTTGTATTATCAGTGCTATCACTATGTTATATCTTTTATCAAAATGGATGCCTCGTCAAGTACCTTATCAAAATAGTATGTGTTAAAATAATAATAAACTAAAAAAATCGATTCATAATTTTATTTTTACTTATTTTTTTAGTTCAATATGATGCATGTTTACAAAATAGATTGGAACAGTTTTTACGTGATCAAGCTGAAATGAATGCTATTTTTAATCATGAACCAATTCAATATGGAGAAATTGTCAGTTTACCCTTCACAGGTTAGAAGAGAAAAGATTTCGAATAACAGAATCATTAAATAAAAAAGTAACTATATATCTTTAGATATTTTATAGTAACAGTTATTTCACATAATTTGTTGAAAATTCAATAGTGAATCGAGAGGAGAAGAGGGACAATCGTCATTCCCTTCCGAACTATTTTTCTCGACAGAAAACACTAAAAAAGATGAATCAATACGAATTATAAATTGACTTCAAAACATGTTGTGTGACTACGGATCGTCGTATTCACTAAAATTTCATATTCGTCACGGTGAGAATCATTATAAAAGTAAGAAACTTATATGAAAACAAAATTATAATTATTTCGATGAGGAACCTAATTGCCTACGGGTTGAGTTTCAAGTTGAAATTCAAAAATTAGTTTTTTCTTTGTTCCGGAAAAGTAGAATCCGATGTATAAGTACTAAAATATGTGGCGTCTTTAAGCACGAATAATTCAATAATGAAAATTCCTCAAAATACATTGAAAAATTTTCGTATTTATCTGATGATTTAATGATTCTGGTTTTATGTTATATTTTGTAAACACATAATCGGAATTGCTTTTTTTCTTATTTTTTAATAACCGGATTCAGAGTCAGAACTGCGATTCCGATTCCGGTTCCGAGTACTTTTTAGAACAGCCGAACTCTACTCAGGAGTAACACGATATTCCTTTAAAAACAACCATTAAAATGCCATATTGTCACATCAATATTCTAATAGCCTGAATTGCTTTTACAGTATTCATAATTCATTTTGTTCTATTCAAAGCACGTAGTCTCGACTTCAAAGCAATTTATTAATTGAGAAACATTTATCTTGAGAAAAATGAAAAATTCATGCTTTATATATACCACTATAAAAACATTAGATTAAAAGAAGAATATCGAAATTTTTAACACAAAAAAAGTATGTGCAATGTTCTATTGTCATCTAATGAAAAAGAAAAAGACATCATTCAGGTAACAAACAGTGAATTAAAAAAATTCTTCAATAGACAGTATCATTATGTTCATTTTTTAATGCATATGTTTCTCTCTTTGTTTTTTTTGTTTAATAGGCAATGGTTATCTTGGTCTTTCTCTATCAAGTCAATCTCAAATTCAACTTTTAACTGATATTCGTTCATCATTTGTTTCCACTGGTTATTCTCCTATTGTTAGAATTTCTTCGGATACATGGGAAGATTCTAGTGCAACAATACTACAAATGAAAGAAGGTCTTGTAAGACGTATTCAATGTTTTAAATTTAGTGAAGAACGTTCAGCACATGTCACACATTTATTATATATACATCGAAAAAGGCCATCATTAATTGTTCAAGAAATAGATATTATAAATCCAAGTGAACATTCACTTGATCTTGATTTTAAACAAAAAAATCAAATATCAAATAATGATTTAAAACAACTTGATCAACGTGATATTCAATTTGATTCAAATAACGATATATATTCAATGATAACAAATCAATTATCTATTCGACAACATAATTTTATTATTTATGTTATTATTACAAATAAAATTATATCAAATTGTCATGTTAAACCTGGTAGGTAAGTTCTACAAATAAATTTGCAAATTTTTCTTTTTTATTTATATTAATTAAAATATTTTATTAAATTTTAGCCCTGAAAAACAAATAATTTTAACTGTAGTTAAATTTTCTTCAGTTATTTCTGAAAATTCTTTACTTAATAAAACTTATTCTCAAGAAATACAAGAACAATTACAAAAACAAGCTAAATATGATATGTCAGATGCTTTATCAATATCATCAATAAGATTATTAAAAGAACATATTGATACATGGTCATTAATATGGCAAAGTGGTTTTACAATGAGTCGTTCATTAGCACCATCAACTATGAATGGTGATGTTATTAATCGAACAATTTATTATATACTTTGTTCAACACCTGCACCACTTTATGAATTAAATATAAATGAAACAAAAAGAAATGAATTAAATCAAAGTCTTTTTCAAATTGATCAATGTTATGAAAGTCATTCAACATTGTAAGTTTAATTTATTAACAAGAAAATTATTCGAACTCATATTTGTTGTTTGAACATATAAAATTATCTCAATAAGATTAGGACAATCTTAATAGCATTCATCCTGATAGACTTTTTGAAATCAAAATAAGATCGTTTTACAGAACTTTCGAATGAATTCAGGCTTATAATTGTAAAAATAATTTTGACATAAAAGTTTGCTTATAGAAAGAGATTGAATGATTTGTAGAATGTTCTTTTTGTCAAAAAATTGAAGTATCATAGAATACTTGTTTATTATGTGCATGATACAAAACTTGAGTTTATTTGAAAATTCAATATTTTGGAAAAAAAGAATATTCTTTTCGATTGAAACTTTTACAATATTCTATGGATCATTCGTCTTATTCATGTACAAAACTTGATATTAAAATTTTACTTTTTGATTTGATAGGTATATTTAAGAAGGAAGAAACTAATGTTATAGGAAATGCTTAGAAATAAGAAAAAAAAATCAAAAATCATCACCAAGGATATTGAAAAATAATTGAAAATCGATAGAAATATGGAAGTTATTTTTAATTATATTATTAGAGATTTTCTATGATTTCAAGTGATTTCTAATGGCTTCTGATAGTTTTTCATCGTTTTCAGTCATTATTTTCATTCTTAAGGCGTTAAAAATGATTTCTAGCATAGAAATCATTTTTTTTCTTCCTTGAATATATTCCTAAAGTTGAATACAAAAATTCAGTAAAAAAAAGATTCTTACTTCACCTCAAATACCTATGTAAAACGAATTATTTTAGACTTTTTCTAGCCTTAATGATATCTTCTTGTAAGAAAAATCTAAACTCAAATTTCAGTTCAGATGATTTCTCTTTTAATAGAATTGGTAAAACATTATGGGTATCACCAGGTGATGATTTAGCTGTTTCACAATTAAGTAATCTATGGCGTTCAACATTATCTCGTAAAGGTTGTTTTACATTAATGCGTAGTGGTATGATGTTTTTTTTTTTTTTTTTTTAATTTTATTTTATTAAAATAATTTAACATATCATTATAAAGGTGTCAATGGTGTTCTACAATCAATATTACTTTCAATTGGTGGTATACGTTTTCGTAATCATCATCTTGAAATGTATTTAGATCCAAAAGAACTTCATCGTGATATGTTTTTTCGTTCAATTAAATTTGGTAAACAATATCATATAAATATAAGTATTACAGTAGGACATGATAATCGTGCTGTTATTGATGTATCAATCGATAGTGAAAATGCTCAAGCATATGCATGTGATGCTGGTTGTTTAGATACGCCAACAAAACTTAGGTTTGTTTATGTTTATGTTTTTCTTTTTTTTTTTTGTTGATAATTGAATATGAGAAAGAATACTTGAAAATGATGCACTTGATGAGATTTTGTTTGAATTCGAAAGCAAAGAATAAATCCTTGAAATCGACATTTATGTCAGCATCTATTTGAAGAAGAAAATGTAACATAAATACATGAAAAAAGAAAATATATTATTTATCGATTTAAAATAGGTGTAATTTTTCATTTAAGATTATTATAAATCTAAAGTTTTTCACAATTAAAAATAATAATAATTTAATTTAAAATATATGACATGTCATTATTTGATTAACACTATAATCTATGAGTTTAATAGAATTATTTTAGTTAATACCATTTTTTAAGTTTGTAATTAGAATATTTCAATGCAATAGTTAACAAATAGATTCGTTTATTTTTTGCTTGACTGTTGAAAAATTTTATTTTCAATTTGTTTGTATTTATCAAGAAGTTAATATTCATGATGTTTACTAAACATATTTTATTTGATCGATATCATCACATAGATCTTAAGATCTATCTTTGTTATTTATTAGAAGTTAAATGCATGTGGATCTGTGTGTATAGAATGTTTACGGTAAGGATAGAGATGTGCAGGATCAAATGTTTTTTGGTTTCGTTTTCGATCTAGAAAAAATTATTCAAGAATTTATTTGTATGACATGTAGAAAAAATTCTTCAACACTTGTGTTTTTTATTCAATGGATGACTAACACTATTTTGCGTAATGTTCTCAATTATCTTCTAATTGATATGATTTATAAGATAATTCGGTTCAAGTCATAATATATAGTCGCCATGTCAGTCTCAGCAAATTCTCATTTCCATGATCCTGATGAATTTTGATCCCATTTTCGCACATCCTTAACTGAGGAATTGTTTTAACAAATTTTTAAAATTTTTGTTTTTGATGTATTTACAATTAGATAATCAATATAGTAATTATTTGATATTTTCTATATAGCATTCAACCAGTTCGATTTCCAGTAAAAATGACAAGCCCACCAACAGCCATTCTTTATATAACAGAAGATTTTGAATATATGACACATTTAAAAGAAACATTACATGTTCAAGAAGTTGAAATAGGTATGAAGAATTTCTTTCTTATGTTTAATTATAATGTTTATTTTTCTTATTAAGCTCCTCCTCATTCACATGATGTTCTTGCACTTCATCGACATGGTCATAAACTTGGTGGTTTACCAATAATCTTTTGGATAGCATTAGCTTTTTTAATAATTGTTTTTCATTTATTTCTATTAAAAATAATTCTTAACGAAATGGGTTTTTTTACGCATAAATTACCAACATATACAAGACCGCGTGTTCTCTAAATTCTAGGATCATCTTTCTTCTTGAACACATTCGCATTTTGTAATTAAGAGTTTGTTTTTTTTTTGGTTTTGGTGTCTTTATGTTTGTTCTTTATGTAATCGATTAACTGTTTGACTTGTTTCAAGTTTTTGTTTTTGTTTTTTTTACTTTAAACGATATAAGATAAGATTTACTTTTTTCAAGAAAGAAAGAAAGAAAAAAAAAAGAATATTACCTTTTGTTCTTAACAAATAGTCTGAAAATGGTGTTGATTGTCTATCAAACTTCAATGGTTACTAGCGGAAAAAAAGAATGAAATAAGATTTTCATAACGACCATAATGTTGCTTTTTGTACTTATTTTTATTTTTGATGACTCTCGATCATAATTGATGATAAGAAAAATATAAAAGTACAACAGTCTATTTAACAGTAAAACGATCTTTGCATTTCCTTCGATCACTTATATGTAATACGAGATTCTATTGATTAATGATCTTTTCTTTTCTCGATTGGTAATTTATAACTCAATTCTTTCAATATTAAACTATTTATAAGACATGTCAATTCATATTGAACAGAATTTTTAATATGTCTTGAAAATGTTTTGCAACATTAAAAGATTTTTAGCATTCTTAAGATAATAACAACATCGATACCAAACAAAAAAACAGAACTAATAATTGTGTTTTGTTGTTGACGAGAAAGGAAAAAAAATGAAGAAAAAGAAAATGAAAAAAAAAAAGCAAAAAAATATCATACGATGAAATTCTCATCTTGAAGAGCTATTTAAAACGAAAAATTACTTACTTTGTTTTCTTTCTTTTTTTTTCTACTTATTCTCAGTATTTTTCACCCCCTCCCATTTTATATCCGATTAAAATATATTAAGATCAAAAAACAAAAGTAAAATCTATGCAAAAATTAAAAGCTTGGTCAAAAACTACTGAACCAACATCTTATGATCAAATTTATAGATATGTTGACAAAGTTCTTGATGAATGTTCAACATTTATTGATGAAATAGAAAATGATTATTATCAAGGAATATCATCATCATTAAATATTACACCTAAAATACAAACATCAAAACGATCATTACCTGTTAATACACTTCTTTCATGGTCACATCTCTTAAATTCATTACGTAATACACGTTCATTACATGATATTCGTAATGGTAAAACAATACGAGATTTACTTGCTGAAATACGAACAGGTACTTTCATTGGATCTGTATCAGATGAAAGTTGTTTTTTAATGCAACGTATTATGGATAAAACAAATGAACAACTTTATTCAAAAATACCAATCTTAGCAAATAAAATAGCTGATTGTATGAGTTTAATGGAACAATATTTTCTTTCATTTTATGATATTGAAAATATTCAAGATATTATTCAAAAAAAGAAAAAAGAAAAAATGCCCGTAAGTGTCTTGTTGTTGATTGATATACTTTTGCTGTTGATCTATATCTATATTGATAAGTTATAAAATTCTTCGGATTAGACATCATTCATAGAAGATGTGAAGGATTATATAGTTTTTTTTTTTTATTTCAAACTCTTGCCATTATATAAAGAGTAAAAAAAAAATGAAGTAATAAATTTCCATATGCAAAAAGAAAGTAGCTTCTTTATGAATTTTGAAAGAAACCTTAATGATGCAATTATATGAATGTCATAATACTTTTAGCCGTAGCCAATCATAGAATTCGTCATGTTGAAGTACAAGCAATTCTGACTGCTTTATTAATATCAGGCTTATCTTTTTTGCAGTTAATTATAGAAAAATGAAATTTTGATTTTAGTCTTGTGATTATTAGAAATTGATTTTTTTTAAGTATATCAATTGAAGAATAGTTTTATCGGTCATTTCGACCTCTAACTAATATACCAATATCTTAATATGAAAATGAAACAACTTTGATTGTTACATATGACATAAATTTTATGTGTAGAAACGATGTTTGAATCAGTAAATAAATTTCGATTTGTTTTTTTTTTTTGTATTCAAAAAGTTCGGACGATACCCTGCTGAATTTTTAATGAGATCTCTAACGCTTTTATAATGATGTACAAAAAATAATATTTATTCAAATTAAAAAGATTTTTAGGATCTTCTATGGATATTTTACAGACAAAGAATCAAAGTATATTTTGCATGTGCATGAATATTCTTAATCTTGTTTATCTCTAGAAATGTTCATATATAATAATAATAATAATAATAATATTTTATCATTGCATGTTGATTTTTTTTCCTTACATGTTAACATTATCTTCATAGGATGAATATGTTGAAACAGCATATACATATGAAAAATCTCGTTGGTTACATCTATTTCAAGTAAATAAATCTTTAAAATTATTACGTGAAATGCAACAACGTGTAGAAGATACAAAAGGTATTGTTCTATCATCATTATCAAAAGAATGTCAAGAATTAGCTGTTCGTTGTGATTGTACATCACTTTCATATATATTTGCATTACCTGAATGTTATACTGAAGCTCGTCGAGCTGTAATTGCTCTTCAAACATGGTTAATTGAAGATACAAAATATACATCATTTATTCAAACGTAAACATTCACTAATTAAACAAAAACAAAAACATTGTTTTATTCTTCTTTAGATCCTTGAAAGTACTTGATGAAAAATTTATTGAAGTAAAAAAAATATATGAACTTGGTAAAGCACATCTTAGTCAAGCTGAACATCGAGTATTTCAAAAGAAATTAAAAGAAAAATTTTAAACATAAATTCTTCTTTTTATTCAATAGGCTGAATCATTTCGAACACAATTAAATAAAACTGAACAAGAAAATGAAATCAATACAAAAAAACTTGAAGAACTTGAAGAACGTCTAGATTCAAAAGAACGTGATTATTTATCTAAACGTTTAACATATGAAGTATATGAAGATCAACTTAAAAAAATGCTTAAAGAAGTTGAAGATCAAAATGATAGTATTGATAATCATTTATCAATTGAAAGATTTCAACAAGAAGTAAAACAATTTTCAAAAGAATTACCAAAATTAAAAACACAAATGGATGCTCTACATGGACGTATTGAATTTTTAAAACAACGTAAACAAGAATTAATTACAATGCGTGCTGAATATAAAAAACTTAAGCATGCAGTACAATTAGCATTAGAAGATAAAATTCTCAAAGAAAATGAATTTAATCGTGTAACAAATTGTCGTCAAGTTATACGAAAAATATATAGATGCCGTTCAACTGATGATTTACCACAAAAAATTTTTTATGCTTTACCTGTCAAATCAAAACTTTCCGGTGAAGATGATAATGGTAGGTATAAATCGCTGTATAACTTCATTGAAAGCTTTTTTTTTCAATGCTAGCGATAGATTTTTTTAATCCTAGTAGAAGGAAGCTCGGGTTTCTTCTTAAACATCAAAAGTAACAAAAATTTAGCCTTTCATCAATTCAAATAATTATAAATATAACTTTGCTATATGTTATAAATAATAGATTAAAATATTTTGTTATAAATTTTAAGTAGAGTAACACAATTGGAATTCAAAAATATTACCCCTAGAAACACTGGTATCGATTAAAAAAAATCAATATTTGATAAAATTAAACCATCTCGATGATACACCTAGTAGATATTTTGAATTCTGCATATCGTCTGATATCGATTATCAGAGAAAACTTGAAATTTAAATATTTGGTATTTGCGAAAATCGAAATTTGCTCAAACTGTACGTGGATGTTTTCTCTGAAAAAATTCTTTATTTTCTTAAAAATGATTTTTTGAGTGATCTGAAATCATTTCTGAGTTAAAGAAAGCCGTTTTCGAGAATACAAGTTACATGTCCGTCTGTTGTGCAAAGAATACACACTGTACACTTCTGGCTCAGGCACTAGGTTATATCGAATATTTTGTGTTCTTGTTATTAACAAAGCCAAGAATGATTTATATTCAGTTATTCTTATCTATAATTTGATTTAATTATTAATAAAAATAATTCTTTTTTTTGTTTTTTGTCAGATGATCTTTCCAAAGCAATACGCCTTATATCAAAATATATAGGACGTGATTGGAGTCGACTTTATTGGCAATTACCATTTTATCCGTTACGTGGTAAAGAAGAAGTATCAAAAGATATTAATTATATTGATGACAAATACCATCGTGGCGATGTCTTTCGTGTTAATATCGATTTTGATTGATTTATTTTCTATATATATCTATTATTAACTTACTTATTTTCTATTTAGGATCAAGCAACAGATGCATTAAATAAATGGCGACGTTTTCATACACGTGCAAAACTCGATGATTTAATTCATGCACTTCAAAATATAAATCGTTTTGATGTCATACAAATAATTGATCGACATATACTTAAACCAAAACGTTTATTAAATGAAGAACATGAAGAAATCGATCCACGAAAAAAAGAGATTGAAGATTTAAATCGAAAATTAAATCGTTTATTTGAAAAAATTCATACAGGAGTTATAACAACACATGACACGTATGTTTATTCAACTATTGGTCTCGATCCGTTACAACCAGTCAGAAAACACCGACCTTTGGTCATGCACTGAACACTGCACTGACATAAGTCACTCACTGTTTGGTATATACGTATAACACATATTTGCACCTTACGGACAAACTATTTGTTCTTCTTTCGTACACACACACATTTGTATACAAACAAATGTCACTATTTATCACTCATACACAAACGAGACCAAACTCAATATTTATTTTTCAATTCACACTAAATAATTCTACTCTTCTATTTGGTTTTTTTTTTATTTTATTTTTTTCTAGTTTCGGAAAGAACCTCATAAAAGCAGAACCCACCAAGCCAGTTTTGCTCGTGAATAATCGGCCGATTCTAGAATAACTCCAAATAGTCGAAGAAAAAAAACCATAATTAAATTGTTATTTAATCAGGTGTGAGAAATATGCATGATTATCCTTTACTTTTATTTTTATTTTTATTTATATTTTGTATTGAATCAAGTGCTTATTATTATTAATGCTTGTCCAAATATTTTTCGTAGAAATAAGTATTTTTCATTTCGTACAATATTTTTTAATAAAAAAAAAAAAAAAGAATAACAAAAAGAAAATTATAGCCTTTGAATAAATTGACGTATTCGATAAAGACTTGATTGATATTGTGATGTAGTAAAAAACGTTTGATTTAGAATTATTCAATATAAGACTATACGTCAATGACAATTAATTGATTCATCATTACCATTTTCGATAAATTATTTAAACCAATAATAAACAAATCTATCCATTGACACTCATACGAATACATAAACATTTGAACATATAGTAAAAAAAGGTTTGCCGACAGTTGAGCTTTTCAAGGGTAACGTAGATTAAAACAGATTATATATTATATGCTTATTGATTAGTACAACAGTGTAACATAGTTTTCTAACGACATCCATGAAATAGTGGTGATGTATCTTATGATATGAAATAGTTTATTCTTCTAAAGGAACGAAAAACTTCTCCAACACCTGATTAGTTATTTAGTGAATGAATAATATAGAGGTGGGGGGCAAAGAAAAAAAATATAGATAAATAAGGTGTGAGTGTGGATCTTCTCTCCATCTACACCAACACCCTAAGACTAGATGAAGTTCTTTTTTCCAAGGTTTTCCAGAGATCTGCGCGTCTTCTGTCTTATAGCCCAAGTAATGTTCGTAAAAACGACTCAGCTAGAAAAGTTTCAATGCTATCAAAGACGCGTTTTGTTGTAGATACTCAAATAGATCATTTTTCTTATACAAATATAGATTGTTATGAAACACAAATAATTTTGAAAGAATATGAAACATGACGTACAATACTAAATAGTAGTTCTTTTTGATGCCTGCTCATAATTTGAAAAGAACCATGAAAGCAAAGAAGAAACATTCGTGAGAAGTAAATATCAAAGATTGGAACAAACCAGTTTTTTGTAGGCCATATCTGCCTGCCTCCCTGTCCCAGGCTCACACCCTACTCAGCCTGCCTACGTCTTTCAGCTGAATTCTTTTACCTGATCTATCGTACCATGAACGTTCGTTGAAACAATGACTTAGTGGCATCTCTGACCCCAGTTTGATATGCTTTTTGATCAGATGTAGACAAAAACAGTTTTTTCCTTTGAATTCTGAAATGCAAATAGAAGTGTATACTAATCAATTGAGCCGCCATCACCAAGGCAACGAAAACTTTGAAAATTTTCCAGCTACTGCTACTGATATCAGTCCTATATGGAAATCTAAGCTTTCTTATTTACCTTTGTTTTACTCTTGTTTTAACAAATTTCTAACTAATACTTTCTGTAATTTATATATATAGAAAAGTAGTACCCTATATTCAAAACAATTCAACCATAGAACATTATTAATAGTTCCAGTAGTTTCATTTGGTTTATAATTTAATTTATCACATGATATGGCCAATATTAACATTTACATAAGATTCTTTTTATTTGCATTAATCTACCTACTATACAAAAACCATCATTTATTTGGAATCATCTCAACCATCTGTGCAATAAATCGAATGAGCCACTGCATATTAAATAAAGTTATTGCAAAATTTTCTTCGATAAATTGAAAGATGAACAACCTAATGTTAGCTTTTCCTCAATTTAATAAATATCGGCGCTTACAGTGTTATAAGTTGTTTGGGGAACATGTGAAATCACATATTGGCAATCGATTGAATAACAGAATTCAACAAACCAACAACACTTCATGAATATAATGTTTCAAGGGTTTCTGGACACCGTTGTAAGATAAAAGCTTCGTGATTATAAAAGCAACTTAGACATCAATCAGCATTAATGTCTTGAACAGATCTTTATTCATTCTCAATTATCAAGAACGAAGATGCTCAAAATTCTGACAACTTAATATAAATCTATTAAGTCTGTTCATGTTCAAAGTTTCAGGATTTCTTCATTGATATTAAATTTGTTCGTTAAGAAGATGAAATTCTATTGAGAGCAAAGTTATGGTCCCGTAATTTCAATAAAATATATGATGTATATATTCAGAAGACAAAATAACACTTAAAACAAACTTGTACTTATCCAACAATAAAATGTGATAGTTGGTGCGATAAGTACAAGCATTATTCTTACATCTGTTTTATTATTCTTTATTTCAAGTCGAATTAATAATTACCTTGGTACAGTTTAAGACACAGAACTATGCGATGAACCGTACGCAGGACAATTTATCAAAAATCTTTTTTCTATTGCTATAAAGGAATCTGATATAATTCTGAACAATACAATCCTGATTAGTAAAACTTACATAAAGTTTATATATATTATCTAATTATTTTTTCGCTTTTTCTTTGACTACGTTCCAGATATCGGCTCAAACATGCATAAAGCATGGACACTATTGAAGATTACTTATATATTTTGCATTTATCATGGTATTCATACTTAATTGCTTAATCACAGACGGTGTTCGAGAGCACTTTAATGAATTTTTCACTTTTTACTTTATTCAGCGATTCATCTTTCGATAAACGTAGCAAGCTGTATTCCTTCTTGCGTCTTCATCTTCTCCTAACTACTATAAATGCATATGTGATTCCGTTCCACTATACAAATACACTGTCGCATGTATATGTATATATAGATCAATCTGTTTTTTTTTTCATCCTCTCATTCTCTCTACTTTTTTGTCCTCTACCTATTTTTGTTTGCGTATAGGTATAAGAAGGATTTACGTTTAATAAATTATGATTATTATTTGTAATTCGTTACAGAGAATTAAATTCATGGGGCAATCAGTAAATTAAAAAATGGACCTCGTTACAAATCAGCCAATATACAAAAAATGTTCTCAACTACTGAAAGACAAACAGATGTCCTCTCATGATAAAAGCAATCATCCATAATATTTGTTTCATCACCCTTCGTTTTCACCATCTTCAATCTAATTTTCAACCAGTACTGGGTACTGAAAAGGATAGATCTATGCATGTGATAAAAAAATAATCAGAAATATCAAAATTTCATTGATTATTCTGATTATTTTTTATTAAAACCATTTTTAAAGCAGTAGGATTTTAGCCTAATTTTGTACATTTTACATCGATTATAATCGATTTCTTCATGATTATTAAATCGGTTGTTATCAAAAATAATGAGAATGATCAATGAAATTTCGATATTTTTGATTATTTTCTGATTATAACATCACATTATTATTGTGAACAATTGTCGCCGCCCGCAATAGTAACATTATTCCACTCTCTTGCTTACCCAATTTAATAGATGATGATTCAGGCAACTTTTTATGAACAAAATAAATGAATTTGTGTCTCTTCCTTATTTTTGAATCGACTATGACGTTGATTTAACCCAATCCTCTATTCTATAGTCTATCACTATTCAATCTTGTTTACAAAAAGACGCTCGCACTTCGCATAATCAAAGGTTATTATTTATCAACAACAGTTTCTCCATACTTTAATGGACGAATTTTCTGCTTTTGTCGGACCATATCTATCATGAACACAATTTTTTGTTTTTCTTTTTCGTATGCTTGGTACTCATATTGGATCTGATGTTATTCTGCCTAATATTCGTTGTCTCACTGACTCTCATCTCGTAAATATTGGTGATCATGTTCGTCGCTGACGAGAAGTGCTTTCATACAAGTAATATATACTTCTATTATATTGTGATTATGTTAACTTTTCTCATATTTTTTTCCGACAAAAAATGACTTACATGACTAGTGAGATCTACTGTGATTTCTGATAGTTTCCATCTGAAATAACATGAAGTTAACTCGAAGTCACAGGAAATATCAGGAAATGTTTAGTTTCATGACACCAGTTGCATGTTCCATCAATCACTAGTTTTCTTCTGCTAAAACCAGTTCTTATGCATCCATCTGGTTTATTGTTGTGCTACATATGTGATCAACAGACTTGAGAATTTCGGTACTCAGAAACACATAGTAGCTTGCGACAAAGTGGGAAAATAGATATGTTTAATCATTTCAGCATCTTGAAAAACAGATGAAAACGAATTCTTCGGTGGATTTGTATTTGATAGGAATAGAACTCTAAGGAATGAGAACCCTGATACTCCTACTTTCCAATTATAATTAACGTCATGCAACTTCATGTCGAGTCTTTCGTTAATTGATCGAGATTATGCTTAATTTCAACGGTTGATGCTTGGCATGGACTATTTCATCAATGTCTGAATAACAACCATTGGGTGCCATTTTATCCGTTAGAATAGACGTATTCGTTTCCTATATAGAAGTAGCCACGAGCTACGGTTGAATAATTCAAACATGAATATAATGAAAAACATGTAGTTCATTGGTACGGACAAGTTTCATTTATATTTTGAATGTATAACAGAGCTTTTCGGTGTCACAATATGGATTCTATTTTGCTTTTCAATTTTTTCATATATGTTTTATACAGACAATTAGAACAAATTTGACACATATATCGAAGACAATCCATATCCAAAATTATGATATTGAACTTTAAGGCAATCATAGTAATGAGTATGATCGTGTTTTAACTGGTAATTGATGTCGAAAAGAATCAATTGAGTTACAGTTATGGTCTTTTTATCGATAGAAGATAAAAGATTTTGAAGAGTTCTAACAAAAATTGGCATTAATGATTGAATAAGAACCAAACTTTTTCATTTAGATGTAAATATTGAAAGTCGATTTCGTATTGTTGACATTCTAGATGATGAGATACATAATTTAGCACGTATCAAAATGGAATTACGTGATGTAACATTTAAAAATAACAGCTGAACATGGCAATACTTTACCATGAGTATTTTAATAACGAAAAATAGATATTTTGTCAAGAATTCACTGACAGAACAACTCAGAATATGAGATTATCGAAGTCTTCTTTCTCATCATGATTTATTGTCGATAATTACGAAACATATCGGAATTGGTCCGATGCGAAAGAATGAAAAGATACTTGACAACTTATTGGTTTGAGATCCATCGAACGATGGTAAACCATAAGAATGAAAGCTGTAATTCATTTTAAAATCTAGAACAAATTTTAATCTTTGTATCTACTATTGGTTGCTTATGTTCGACTAGATTGTCAGCTATACTTGCAACATCTTCTAATTTTAGTTAAATATTCAGTTCCTCTTGTATTATGTTAACACATTTCGATAAATGTTATCTTGGGTTATCAAAGTGATCTGCATCATATCATTTATATAGACGACATCCAGAAATCGACTGCCTTTAATGGATTCAAACTTTTTCTCGATTAAGATTTCTGGTTTATTTCATTTATAATGATAAATCTATTACGATCATTGAATTGAAGTCATCTGGCAATACAAAAAAAAAAACAGAAAGAAAGAAATTTGAAATAATGACAGAAAGGAAATCTAAAAAGTTCTTTGAAACTTCATATTCTAAATGCAATATATTTCTCAATTATAATTAAGACGATATAAGAAAAAAATCGATAGAGAACATATAAACAAAGATTTGTATTGGATGTGTAAATATTCATTGCTTTGTGCATGGACCGATTTTTCATTTCGTTCTCAAGAAACCCTATGAAAATTTTCTGCCTTTCTGTAATAATCACAATATCTGAACATTGACCAATCATCGTTGTAATGAAAACAGTTATGTGTGCCTTATGATACTTGTCAATCTTATTAGTGAAAATCAAACTTCAATATTTCGATATGAAATTGTATGGTATCAGTTCTGTTTTTTTTTCTTCCTAACGGTAACTAGTAGACCCTTTTTTTTATGAGTATTAGACGATGGTCATGTTGATTTAACATCTGTTTATGTTTGCTTATTCTTCTTTCTAAATTGTGCTTCAATCACATCACCAACAGACGCATACTGTTGCCGTCAACGCACTCGAGCTCAAACAAAACAAATCGAACTGATTGAGAAAAAAATAACCTACTCATTTTTCTTCTTTTTTTCTTTTTGTATCAGACGATTTCTACTTTTTTTTTAATTATCGTTCAAAAAAGTAAAAAAACAACATGACACATAATTTTAAAAAAGATCATTTAAAAAATTTGGATTCACAACAACAACTAAATGGAAAACCGATGATTTATATTAGTCATGATGATGACGATGATGATCAAGATATTTATATATCAGAACGATCATCTGTTGCATCATCAAATGATATGAATCAGATGTCTAATACCATTTTTAAACGATTACCAACACCAACACCAACGCCGTCTTCGATGTTATCGTTAGGACAAAAACAATCTCCTAATCTTCGATATCATGGTAATGAATTACAAGAAAATGGAATGCCAACTGCTATTCAATGTCAACTTTCACGTAAAGAAGAGAGAAAAAAGAAAAAAAATGTTCATAAAGCTACATCGAATCAAACTAATTGGGCTACATTATCTGAAACAAAATCACAAGAATTAGCTGATAATTATTATCCATATTGGGGTTATTATAAAGTAAAGAATTCTGATCGAACTATGCATAATCGTCAAACACTTGATGGTCAGATAACACCAAATGAATTACTTGATCCTACACAACATGTTCATAAACCTGCATTAACAACATCATCTATAAAACCAAAACAACAACCACGAAAATTTCGTCAAAATGGTGTATCAATCATTCGATCCAATCAAGATAAACAACGTCATGATCATAGTGAAAAAAATTCACCAACATCATCACATTTAACATTTCATGATAATCATGATAATAATTATTCACAACAACATATACCTATTGAAAATTCTGATAATGACGAATATCGAGAACAATCAACAAAACGTACAATAAAACAACAACGTCGTAAATTAAAAACTGAAAATGATTCAATGGATCATTATGTGCAATCAAATACCAATAAATTACCTCAAGATTCAAATAGTTTAATTATAACATCCAATTCATTAACAAATCGATCAAAAAATAGTACGAAAATATCAGAAAAAAATTCTTTAACTTCTAATATTGAAGGAAACAGTAAACATCGTCATTCTAAACATTATTGTCATCATCATCAAAATCATATTCAGTCACATAATTCTCCTTCGATTCCTTCTCAACAAAGTAACCATTATCATCAAAGCCTTCATATTCGACGTCGTCCACCATCCGGTTCAAATCAGGGTACTGATTTGCAGATTGTTGATAGTTCAATTAAAAAATCCGAACGATCATCTTATTTTCAATCGGCACGGGAATCATTTCATGTACCAACATCACCTATTTATAATCAAAATTCTTATTTACCACCCATCATACGTGATCATCATCATCAAAAAACAAATACAAATCGTTTTCCAACTGAATATTATGGTACATTAGCTCGACAGGCACATAGCAAAGATTGGGAAGAACCAATAGAAGTTACGAAAATTTATAAACATGATCCACAAGCACGATTCTACGATCGTTATTTAAACAATGTTGTAGACAAAAGACTAGCAGTTTAATCATTATATCTTTCAAAAGATTTTTTTTTTAAGTTTTAAATGTATTTTTTCTAATAAAAAAGAGATACAGAAGAAATAAAAAGTTATATTCTAAAAAAAAAAGAATTATTGCAACGATTAATCGCAAAAAAAAAGAAATTTAAATTCTAGAGAGTATGTGGCTTCCAAAAATAAGAATATGAATAGTTTTCAATCAAAAAAAAGATCAAAGTTTGCTTTTCAGTGGACATATGCACAAGGTAAAAAACTTACAGTGTACTTTACTACTACAATCACTTGAATTTTAAATGTTGCTAAAAGCTTTGTAGTACTCTTACAATTTTTGCACGAGGGTTGTCAATCCACATGATGACATGTGCTTAAAATCTACAAAGAAAAAGTACATTTCTTTTTGGATTTTCCTCCTGAAACTAAAGATTAAATTTAAATGAATAAATAATACTAAGAAAAAATTAAAAGTAGAGCAGTAGCTAATTTTTTTTATATCAGTGTCCGTAATCATCCTTTCTGTAATTCAATAAGATGAAGGCTATGATGTACTTATATTAGCAGCATATCGAATTTTGCGTAATTATTATTTGATATATTTTCATAAAACGGTACTAATACAAGTCTTTAAAATTTGTACAGATCGTTCACTATGTTCCTATCCGTATTTGATGTATCTTTATTTTTTTTTCCATCATGTTAACTAAAACAATTTTGTATTATTTTCTAATCGATTTATGAAGAATGAAATGACGAATCGGATGACAGAAAAAGCAATAAAACAAAATCGAACACATAGGAGATAATTTAAAAAGTCGGTTTTTTACAGAATATATATTAGTATTCTTCAAAGGTCTGCGCAATACTCAAAACAAGACGTGATAAAATTTTTTTTTCAGGAAAAACGGTCAATATTTTCCTCCCTTTTAGTCGTGCAACCTAGAATTCTTTATGAATCTTCATTCTATGCATATACGGTAGTCAGAAAATTCTAACAACAATTATTCAAAATTTCTTTTTCATTGTTTCTGTTCTTCATGTTGGTTTATTCTAGTAGCGGTATCTATTATGTATTAAAATGCCCATACGAATTTTCACAATTATCAGTTTAAAAAACAAATTCTAAGTAGGCGTTTTTAGTCACCTCTGTTTTCAAATTCATATCAGCAACGATAAATAAAATAGATTTGCATTATAAAAAATGCAAAATCATATATGCAAGTTATTGTTCTCAATCTTTAATAATTTTCAAGAGGAAAAAATCTAAGTTATGATTCATTCACTATGTATGCCTGGCTTTGCTCTTTCAGATTTTTAGTTGTTTAAATGTCTGCACCGTAATCTTGATACTTATACAAATGTTACAAGCTGAAGTAAAGCAATAATCAAGGAGATCAATTAAATACATATTCACAAATACTAAAAGACCTTTCAGAAATGAATAGACACAATGAAACTTTGTATCAAACATCCCGAAGCCAATTTTGAATATTTAATGTATACAGACTAGCAAAATGTTTTTTTTTCTATGACTAAATATTCGAAAGTAGCAGAACTTTCTGACTAATCCAACTATTTATTTTCATTTTATTAAAAAGACATTATAGAATTCCTTTTTTTTGAATTAAGCATTGGTACGATTACATAAAATACAAGTTTTATAATTGAAGCATCATCTTTTGAGAGTTGTTCAGAACAATAAACTTTCCTTCAAATAAAAAGTGAGAATTTAAAAAGAAGGCACTCTATCATGCCCTACATTCTGGCACAGCCCTTTTGAAAAAACAAGACTAAGTACATAGAATGAAGGCCCACAGAGAATTTTCGATTATCACAGTGGGATATTTTTGATCCTTATTCTATGAACATCTTTCAAAGACACCGTGGTATAGAGCTGAAGGATTTACCATCGTCTTCCCAATATAGTTCTAACATATTTTGAAAACTTCAGGCGATTTAAATTCACTTGACTTAAGATCAATTTTTGTCAGAAGAAATTTGAAGAGATGAATTGCGTATTCCTGCATCACAATCATTCTTACAAAACATAATGGCATTGTGTATTCACGCCATCTATATACTATTAATTTTTATTAGTTATAATCAAAATCCATGTTAGAGTTATCATGCCTTTAACTAATGGATGAGAAGGGAAAAAAAAACAAATAGATCGAGTGGCTAGGCGAAATAAACAAGGCACGACCACATGATAATATAAGGAAATTTGATCTTAATTGATTGTATATCTAAGCATATGTCTAATTTACTATTTTTCTTTAACTATGTTCTACATAAAGAACATCTTTATTCTACTCATTTTATTGCACAATTTCGTTCTTACCAGTTGTTATTTTTATCCTTTTGATTGTAATAGAATTTCTCAATGCCTTCAACATCAACAAGAAAACCGAACAGACTTGCAGTAAATAATCAAGGATTTTGTAGTATATTTGGTATAAAAGCAGCTATAATTATTGTTGGTTTTATTCTTTTGGTATCTGTTTTATCATTATTTTATTTATCAACATGGACAATTATAACAAAACATAAATACGCATTACTTGCTTCAGCATATTTATATGCAATATCAACTTATTTAGTATTAATATCTACATTAATAACATGTATAGCAATTATTGCTCTATTTATAACAGCATGGACTGAACATATCAAAGGATTAAAATTAGTAAGAAAAGAGAAAAAAAAACAAACAAACAATTATATTAAATTTTTTTTTTTTTTTTTTTATTAAAATAATAATTGTTTAGACACTTTTAATATTAATTTTAACATTTATTTTTGAAATAACTACTGGTCTATTAGCTTTTGGTTATACTGTTAATGTTAGTTGAATTGAATTAAAATTCAAAGAAATTTATTTGTTTTTTTTTTAGCTTGATGAACGTTTATCAACAAATTTACTTGAAACAATTCAACATAAATATTATTATGTTAAAAGAAAAACAAGAACATTTGATCAAATGCAAAGACGTGTATGTTAATTAATTAATTAATTTTTTTTTTCATAATTTTATTTTTCTTATCTTTTAGTTTCGATGTTGTGGTTCAAAATCATTTCAAGTAAATTGAAAAAATAAAGAAATTTTTGTTTTTTAAACATATAATTTATTATTATTTAAATAAAAAAGGATTGGCAATTAAATTCAAATTTTAATCTATCAATGGCTTCAGCTGTACCTGATAGTTGTTGTAAATCATATGAACCACAATGTGCTCAAAAACCATATGGAAAACATCCATCAAATATATTTTATGAGGTATTCAAATGTTCTATTTCAATGATATATCTAGACAAGCTTTTCACTTATTGCTATTGAGATACTAAAATTTTTATGATAGGTTTTAAATGAATGTTATGAATCTTTCTTAGACAAATTGATTTTTCAATTTTTTGACGTAAAACTTTACATAGAAACAAACTTTAATGAAAATAATTTCTTGTGAATGTTTTAACTCTTATAGTTGTTTCTATTCTAAGATAGAGCTGTGGTTAAAGAACATATTTTTTACTTTTTTCTTATGTAGTAGCAAATTTAAACACTTGAAACTTTCACAATAAACTATTTTTATTAAGATCTGAGAACGTTTCAATTCGAAAAAACAGTTTGTTTTTGTTTTTTTTGGGTTCTCCGAAGTAGTATTATTCACAAGTACGACTTTTGTTTGCCTCCGGACCGAAGTTAATCGATATTTGATCAACACATTCAGAGTTATAGTATAGTTTTCAAACTTTTTGTATGAAAAAGTTTATTATTTAGTTTCTTTCATAAATAGTAACAAAACAAAAATTTCGCTAAATATTATACGTTTGCCTATGGGTATATACAAAAAATATTATTTTCATCATTATAAAAGATATTTCATTTTCTTCTCTATATATTCAATAACTTCATCATATGGTTTTTTTGTTGTCTATAGATGAGTTTTCATTAAAAATAAATTCTCTCAGTAAAACAACATCACTTTCTACTTCTATGACTTATTCTCAAGTACAATAAATTACTCAAGTTTTTCCTTCCTATATTTTTATATACATTAACAAGTTTGAAAAAGTAAAACGATTTTGAAATGTTTATTGCTGGATCAAGACTAGATAATGATCTCAAATTTCAGAAATTGCAGAACACCTTATTGAATGAGATTGTGGCAATTTTGTATAAGTTTAGGATCTTTGCAACATAAAGTTAAAAGCTTGAACTCATTTCGAAGTATTCATTGCATCATTAGATTCTATATGATGCATAAAGTTTCAATTCAAAAACGATTTATCAATGAGGATAATTTCTATATGAAATTTAATTCGAAATTATTATTATCGGAAGTTCTTCTAAGTAACAAATAATTTTTTTTGCATTATAAATTTACATGAATGTTTGAATAATTAAAAGTTAAATGTTAATAAATATGACTTTAATTGTAAATCTATTTAAATTTACGTTTTCCTTCATACAAATTACTTTTTTTGTTTTATCTTGATGAAAAAAGAAAAAAAAATGTTTAGAAAATAGCAAAAAAAAAAAGATTATTATCAGAACCTTGATTAATAAAACAAATATTTTATTGAATATAAGAACAAGAGAATAATATTATTTCTAGTTTAACTGACATTGTAAATAAATAAATGAAGTGTCTAATTCACAAATGAAAATAATCATACTTTTTTTTTTTCTTTTGATTCTTTTTATGTTTCGTTGTTATCCTCTTTTTTTTTGTATTCACTCTGTCATTTTATTTAACATAAGTCTATTCTTATTTTGTTTATGTGCATAAAAAATTAGAAGCAAGAAACCGCGTCATACAACTTTTCTTGTTAATATTCGTGATATAAATAAGTACAAAACAAAAAAAAAAAAAACAACTTGACGCGCTCAACCCTACATACTTGTCATATAAAGTCACATAGACAGGGATATTCTGTAGTAATTAGTCACTATTGATGTTCGATATGAATCAATTTACATCTATTTTGGTTTTTTTGCATTAAGTTATTG